TTTACAAACCAGAAGTGTTATAAGAAGAGTAGAGTATATGGAGAGTAAAAGAAAGGTGAAGAGAGTGGCAAGAGTGTGCAAAAGGAGAGCAGATGATAGAGTGGGAGAGGCACTGTCAAGAAATTTTAATAAAAATAAGAAAAAATTTTGGAGCGAGTTAAACAAGTTCAAGAAATCCTAGAGAACGAATGGATTTGTCAGTTCAAATCAGAGTAGGGGAGTTAGCAGATGGGGAGATGGAGGTTTTGGGTAGATAGCGAGAATATTTTGAGGAACTTTTAACGTCGACGAAGAAAGGGAAGCGGTAATTTCATGCACTGGCCAGGGAGGTATACCATCTTTTAGGAGTGAAGAAAAACAGGATGCGAATGTGGGGAGGTGCGTGAGGCATTACATAGAATGAAAGGGGGTAAAGCAGCTGGAACTGATGGGATCATGACAGAAATGTTAAAAGCAGGGTGGGAAGAAGTGTTGGAGTGGTTGGTATTTTTGTTTAATAAATGTATGAAAAAGGGGAAGGTACCTAGGGATTGGCAGAAAGTATGTACAGTCTCTCTATATAAAGGGAAGGGGGGCAAAAGAGATTGTAAAAATTATAGAGGAATAAGTTTACTGAGTATACCAGGAAAAGTGTACGGTAGGGTTATAACTGAAAGAATTAGAGGCAAGACAGAATGTAGGATTGCAGATGAGCAAGGAGGTTTCAGAGTGGGTAGGGGATGTGTAGATCAAGTGTTTACATTGAAGCATATATATGAACAGTATTTAAATAAAGGTAGGGAAGTTTTTATTGCATTTATGGATTTAGAAAAGGTATATGATAGAGTTTTACATGATGGTAGGATTGCTGGTGTCCTTTTTTTCTGTCAAATGAACATGCAAGATTTCAGGTATGTCTTGCTACTTCTACTTACACTTAGGTCACACTACACATACATGTACAAGCACATAAATACACACCCCTCTGGGTTTTCTTCTATTTTCTTTCTAGTTCTTATTCTTGTTTATTTCCTCTTATCTCCATGGGGAAGTGGAACAGAATTCTTCCTCCGTAAGCCATGCGTGTTGTAAGAGGCGACTAAAATGCCGGGAGCAAGGGGCTAGTAACCTCTTCTCCTGTATATATTACTAAATGTAAAAGGAGAAACTTTAGTTTTTCCTTTTGGCCCACCCCACCTCGGTGGGATACGGCCGGTGTATTGAAAGGAGAATATGATAGAGTGGATAGGGGAGCAATGTGGCAGATGTTGCAAGTACAGTGGTCCCTCAATAATCGTCCATAATCCGTTCCTGGAAGTGGGACTATTATCGAAATGGACGATTTTCGAATCAATTTTCCCCATAAGAAATAATGTAAATCCAATTAATTCGTTCCAGACACCCAGAAGTATCAACAATTTTTTTTTTACCTAAAAGATAGATTTACATGCACAAAAGAATGAACATTCAACATGACAGTTACCTTTATTGAAGGCTGTTGTTGTTGAATGGAAGACAGGGAGGAAGAGAGAGGGAAGAGGTTATTTGGAAGGGGAATCCCCCTCCATGAGGACTCTAGGGCACTAATAAAATGTATAAATGAACATTGGTAATAGGGGTAGTTGATGAGTGGAACTGTCTGCCTAGTAGGGTGATCGAAGCTAAAACATTGGGTAGTTTCAAATTCAGGTTGGATAAATACACGAGTGAGAGGGGTTGGATTTGAGTCGGACTTGCACCTGAGCTTATTGCTTGGGTAGCATTTGTTCTGTTAGTGGGTTGGATTTGTGAAGAACTGGCCTAGTATGGGCCAACAGGCTTATTGCAGTGTTCCTCATTTCCAAAGCTCTAAAAGCTATGGCTTGGGTAGTTTCAAATTTAGGTTGGATAAATACACGAGTGAAAGGGGTTGGATTTGAGTCGGACTTGCACCTGAGTTTATTGCTTGGGTAGCATTTGTTCTGTTAGTGGGTTGGATTTGTGAAGGACCAGCCTAGTATGGGCCAGCAGGCCTGTTCCAGTGTTCCTACTTTCTTAAGTTCTTATTTAACATCACACTTACCAGTAGGGTGATCGAGGCTAGGACCTTGGGTAGCTTCAAGAAGAGATTGGACAAATATACAAGTTGGAGGAACTGAGTTTGATTTGTGTCATTGGGTACGGGAGTAAATTCTTGGGTAGCTTTGGGTGGAGGTCATTTTGATAAGGACCTGCCTTGTATGGGCCAGTAGACCTGCAGTGTTCTTCCATTGTTATATTCTTATTGGCTATTTGTTTGTGTGAGGGAGGGATGGCAAGTTTATTGTTGGAGAATATGACACTAATATCAACTCAATGGCTTATTTATCTATCACAATTCAGCTAATATGACATAATAAACAATATTAATAACATAGAAACATGGAATATACTGTAGAATGAATAAAATAAGTCATTACGAATGTCACGAGAGGTGTTGTGTTGTGTTGTTGTTGGGTATATAAGGGCCACTGAGTGTAAGCCGTCCATAATGGTGGTGAGGCGGCGGTGGTTTTTGTAGCCCTATATAACTCCAACAACATTGGAGGAGTTGGTAGAATCGCTGAATCACTAAAGAAGGAACCCTCTACCACCATCACTATATCCTTCTACCACTATTACAACTGTTACCACCATCACTACTACCTTCTACCACCATCACTACTGCCTTCTACCACCATCACTACCACCAAAGAAAGCTTCTAGTGCCAGCCCTTTGGTAAAGAATGTGAGAAACACAATTTATGAAAAAGTTTGTAGAAAAATACAAAGATGGTGGTGGTAGAGTGGAACAGTTGTGATAGTGGTTGATGAACATAAGAACATAAGAAAGGAGGATCATTGCAGCAGGCCTGTTGGCCCATGCTCAGCAGGTCCTTTACAATTCATCCCACTAACGAAACATTTTCCCAACCCAGTCCTCAATGCTACCCAAGAAATAAGCTCTGATAACTCTATCCACTCATTTGGGACTTGCAAATGAGTGGATAGTTATCAGAGCTTATTTCTTGGGTAGCATTGAGGACTTGGTTGGGAAAATGTTTCGTTAGTGGGATGAATTGTAAAGGACCTGCCGAGCATGGGCCAACAGGCCTGCTACAGTGATCCTCCTTTCTTATGTTCATCAACCACTATCACAACTGTTCCACTCTACCACCACCATCTTTGTATTTTTCTACAAACTTTTTCATAAATTATGTGTTTCTCACATTCTTTACCAAAGGGCTGGCACTAGAAGCTTTATTTGGAGCCACGGTAGCTTATTTAGCACTAAAATCAATGGAATATTCTGAAATATTTCGTAGGAGCATGTGAGGGGACCGTCACTCACTGGTAAACAATGGCACACTGGCTGGGAAGGAAAGGCCGAGGCGGATCAGAGCGTGAGTACGCGTCCAGGACGAAGGACTATTAGGACTATTAGCGAGTTACCGGACCATTTGCGAGCCAATATTTTGACGAAAAAACAGGACTATTTCCGAAATGGACGACTTTCAGGCCGGACGATTATTGAGGAACCACTGTATATGGAATAGGTGGTAAGTTACTAAATGCTGCAAAGAGTTTTTACGAGGATAGCGAGGCTCAGGTTAGGGTGTGTAGAAGAGAGGGAGACTACTTCCCGGTAAAAGTAGGTCTTAGACAGGGATGTGTAATGTCACCATGGTTGTTTAATATATTTATAGATGGGGTTGTAAAAAGTAAATGCTAGGGTGTTCGGGAGAGGGGTGGGATTAAATTATGGGGAATCAAATACAAAATGGGAATTGACACAGTTACTTTTTGCTGATGATACTGTGCTTATGGGAGATTCTAAAGAAAAATTGCAAAGGTTAGTGGATGAGTTTGGGAGTGTGTGTAAAGGTAGAAAGTTGAAAGTGAACATAGAAAAGAGTAAGGTGATGAGGGTATCAAATGATTTAGATAAAGAAAAATTGGATATCAAATTGGGGAGGAGTATGGAAGAAGTGAATGTTTTCAGATACTTGGGAGTTGACATGTCAGCGGATGGATTTATGAAGGATGAGGTTAATCATAGAATTGATGAGGGAAAAAAGGCGAGTGGTGCGTTGAGGTATATGTGGAGTCAAAAAACGTTATCTATGGAGGCAAAGAAGGGAATGTATGAAAGTATAGTAGTACCAACACTTTTATATGGGTGTGAAGCTTGGGTCGTGAATGCAGCAGCGAGGAGGCGGTTGGAGGCAGTGATGTCCTGTCTAAGGGCAATGTGTGGTGTAAATATTATGCAGAAAATTCGGAGTGTGGAAATTAGGAGAAGGTGTGGAGTTAATAAAAGTATTAGTCAGAGGGCTGAAGAGGGGTTGTTGAGGTGGTTTGGTCATTTAGAGAGAATGGATCAAAGTAGAATGACATGGAGAGCATTTAAATCTGTAGAAGGAAGGCAGGGTAGGGGTTGTCCTCGAGAAGGTTGGAAGGAAGGGGTGAGGGAGGTTTTGTGGGCGAGGGGCTTGGACTTCCAGCAGGCATGCACGAGCGTGTTCAATGGGAGTGAATGGAGGCAAATGGTATTTGGGACCTGACGATCTGTTGGAGTGTGAGCAGGGTAATATTTAGTGAAGGGATTCAGGGAAACCGGTTATTTTTATATAGCTGGACTCGAGTCCTGGAAATGGGAAGTACAATGCCTGCACTCTAAAGGAGGGGTTTTGGGATATTAGCAGTCTGGAGAGAGATGTTGTGTATCTTTATACGTGTATATGCTTCTAAACTGTTGTGTTCTGAGCTCCTCTGCAAAAACAGTGATTATGTGTAAGTGAGGTGAAAGTGTTGAGTGATGATGAAAGTATTTTCTTTTTGGGGATTTTCTTTCTTTTTGGGTCACCCTGCCTCAGTGGGAGATGGCCAACTTAAAAAAAAAAAAAAAAATAAGAAATAAATCATGAGTAATATATAATGCCTAGGTGTGAATAACCAACTTCTGACTGATAGAACTGGTGAAAATACTTTTGTAACTGAACCCACATGCAGCATGCACTTACCAGCACCTCTGTTAAAAGGAGAATTTGATCGTAACATATCCTGGCGCAAGCTGTTACCTCTCTTAAGACTCGTCAGGCTTGTCTGTGACCCAGATCTATAGAGACCATCTTCATCAGGGACTTCTAGAGTTTTCCTGTTTGAGAGACCAAAAGTATTAGAAAGGAATTCTTAGATATTCTATTATTCACAAAAAAAAAAAAAAAAAAAAAAAAGTAAACATTGCATTTTTCAACTGGTTCCTAAGTGTACTGTTATTTTCTGATGAACTACAGGCTAAAACAAACTAAAATTTCTTGGGGTTGTGAATTATATTACTTAAAATTAGTTTGTAAGTTGTTAATATAAGTGTTCAATAACTAAAAATTTATTATGGCAAGACAATATTCCATGTTTTGTGTCATATTAGGCATTTATTTTTTTTCACATTCAAGGGTGTTAACTTAGAATGCTATAAATATATCACACAACTATAAACATACTGAATAGTCCCCAACACCAGGCAATGTTTAATAAATTACAAAGCTGTATGCTCTATGCGTAAATGTTTATCTTGAACCTCCCATGTAAACAGAACACGGGAAGAATGTATACCATCACCATTTCATTTTAACCATACGGTTCATATCCTTAACACCACAAACTCTTTATAACGACTTTGCATAATCAATGAAACGTGCTCTGATAGATGTTTCTGAAGCTTTTCTAAGCATTTTATACTGCAAAATTTTAATTAAATTTTATTTTGTAATGGCAACTTCAGATCCCTAATATTCACACAACTTTGGGATAAGTGAGGAGCTTCAACTTTCATCATTGCTTTGATATAAATAGTACTAATGCTATCAAAATACCAAGTAACCAATATAAGCAACTGATACAAATGGCTTTTGTGGTGCAATTAAACCTAACAATACAGATTTACATTACCACTGAACCATGAATCATATACACACTTCAACCATTTTTTCATCAAAGAACATTTAACATTAAAAGCATTCCTTTTAACAAGTTAAAAATATTGACAATTTTATAAACAACTATGAAGTGGTTGAGATGTGTACTTATGACAGGTTCTTGTCATGATGCACTATTGCAGTATATTCCCATGGCCAGTTTACAATAATAAGCAAGTTATTAAATTTCAGAAGCTGTGCGTCGATGCGATGTCAGACCAGGTGCTCCAGGCATGGTTTAATTGATTAGTGCATCAATACCTTATCAGAACCTCTCCCAGAGAGCTTGAACGCTTCCGGTACCTTGGATGAACCTCAGGAGTGCTCGATGTCTCAGCTGCCTCAGAGCTGGAACTGTGTGGGCAGTGCAAGGTCAAGTGAGGTCAGGAAAGATGGGTCAGTGCAAAGAGGTCAAGAACATGCTTCAAGTAGTCAAACTATTAAAGAAAAAATCTCAAGGAATTTGAGTGCAGGGAAGTCTATTTAAGAAAGGGGCGATATTCATGCAAACCATCTTATAATAGCAGTTTTGTGATACAATATTACCTGTACAATTTTATATCCCAAAATGCAATCAACTAATGCTACCATGCAATCTTGGTTAAAATGAAAAGCTAAATGCTAAGTTAGGGTCACATTGGCCTGTCATAAGCCAAGGGCATCAAATTACAATTTTTTTTTAATACTCTATAAAAAGCTATAGTCTTATAAAAAACGACAATTAAGTAACAGTTTAAGAACGTAACTCAATATTAACTAATACTTTTATAGAAATATACAAAAGCAAGACAAACATATTGCAAATATACACAAAACAAATTGGATGTAAAAAAAAAATTAAATTTAGAAAATTAAATGTTTTATATACTAAGGAGCTACAGGATGTCTGTACAGTGGTATCACAATTGAAATCAAATAATTTGCTATCTTGGTAGCAATAAAAGATAAATTCAATGATACTATCTATACATGTATTGTAAATGCCAATAACAATGATGAGAGCTTCAATATATGTACCTAAACTCCTGCAAATACCTAATTTAAAAAAGTTATTAGGAAATGGTCGATATGCAACATGCTGATGAAAACCATTTCTCTAATCTGAACCAAAGGATTTTCAGCTTTTAACTGAACATTGATCATGTCATGCTTTGTAATCTAGAGAAAAAGAAAATAAATTAGCCAGGATTAATCTTTATAACTTTTAAAACTAATAGCTAAACTATAAAATTATATTTAGTGCCCAGAAGTACATCCATATCAACACAAAGGGCATGCAAACCTGCTTCTGACTGCAAAACAAATATAACCAAGCAAAACCTATTTACTCTAAGAAAATAAAAAAAATTTTTTTTTCCAAATTTAATTTCTGTGTAATGAACAAGAAAATATGAATTTTTTTTTATACCGGCCATCTCCCACCGAGGAAGGGTGACCCGAAAAAGAAGAAGCACTTTCACCATCACTCTCCATCACTGTCTTACAAACAGTGTGGAATATTTCCACAATTTTCAAGATTTTAATAATTCCAGAACAAATATTTTACTTTTTACATTTGTTTATAATGTTTATAATAAAGGAATATTACTTTAGAGTTTATTGCAATTTGCTTTATGGTTTGTATAAAACAACATACCAAACCATGAGCTAAAAATCACTCAGCATTTGGTTAACAGTTAATTTAATCACAAATTCAGCACTTTGTGATGGTTAGCTGTAAGGAGTTGCATTCTCACCTCCCCACATCTTTCACAGATTCCACTGGATAATTCAATCAATTTGCTCCAAGATAGCAATTATTCTACAAGAATTGCAAGAACTTTACGAATTAAATACTAGCCATGCATATTTCATGATTTACATGACCACTTAATACCTTACACGTTTCAGGCAGAAAAATAACACTTGAACATTACCTTTGGTTTTCCAGACACAAACTGAAGTAAACAGCTGGCTGTAGTGTCTTGTTTAAATGTCTAACATTACCTTCCATTTCCCAGATATAAATTTAAGAAGTTATCAGCGAGATGCATTAGCTCTTTAACCCGTAAACGGTCCAAGCAGATCTACGTTCACATGTGTAGTGCTACAAAAGTAGATCTACTTTTTTTTTTACATATTTTCAAATATAACAAAAAAAAAAAAAAAGTAGATCCAAGTTTTTACACATTTTCAAATGTAAAAAAACAAAAAGATCTACTTTTTTTTACATACTTTCAAATGTTGAAAAAACGTATATATACGTTTGGACCGTTTAGGGGTTAAATAACAATGTTCTATTCTAATACAGAGGATCTTACTGTTTTACAAGTGTACCTGTTAAAAGTAAGAATTTCCCAAATGGCACCCAGACACAAAAGTAAAACTTGATTAAAAAAAATAATTATGGGATATAATAGGAAAGTACTACCTGCTGTAAGTAATTGATAACCCCAGTAATAATGGCTAAGTAAGCCTATAGGCTGCTAGCAGCAATAACCTGACTGTGTTGTGGACTTGCAGAGGATTAACAGCAATAACCCACTTATGGTGGCTATGCGAGCCTGCAGGCCACTAACACCAACACTGGTTATGATGGCTGTGTACCTGTAGGCAACTAACAGCAACAACCTGGTTAGCCAGGCACTTGATAAAATCTGGCCTAAAGCCACTTACAGAATTAATCTAAAATAAAGAATAGGAAAGAAAATTAAAGGAATGACTGGAAACTGCTAGAAAAAAAAAAACTAGCAAAATCCTCTGCTGCATTGCAGAAATTAAACTGGGAACACAGGGAGACTAAACAGTGGTATGTGATATTTGCCATGGGCCATCCTGCTGTGTAATGCAGTAAGGTGCAGAAGACTTAACATTGCATGGTACAGTATGTATGTACTAATTTTTAACGTTTAATATAGATATTGTACTTTAATAATTTGATCATTCAGTTGCATAAACTATGATGCTTGCTTTATTTTTACTACAAATCTTACCTAGAATGAGATTCCGGTTCCCGCGTAGAAGGTGACTTCGCATACTCTCCATTCATTGACAATCGTACTCTTTCCATATCCTCTTTAGTAAACTTTATTTCCTGAGTTCTGCGCCTTTCATCTTCACGCCGTCGCTCCTGTTTGAGAAATAGTTTTTTTTTTTTTTAACCTCATAAGCCATTTCCCCACCAAGGTAGGGAGAAAAAAAAAATTCACTATCATTCATTCAAATACTCTTCTCAGAAGTGTGCTGGTTAATTCAGATGACCTTTAACTACAACATCCCCAACTTTCCTTCAAAATGCAGGTACTGCCCTTCTCATCTCCAGGACTCAAATTCTAGCTAACAGGTTTCCCTAAATCCCTTCACACATGTTATATTCCTCACTCAAACAGCACATCCATTGAAAGTCACTTGTCTCTACTAGCTCCAACTGAACACTCTCACAAGCCTGCAGTATGGTCAAGACCCTAACAATCAACCTTGACCCTCCTACAATTCCTAGATATACCCCTACCCCTCCTACTTTCTACCCTAGACTTTTATACATTTTTTAACGCACCAGCAGTCTCCCACTGAGACGAGGTGACCCAAAAAGAGAAGAAACACTTTCACCATCACTCATTATCACTGTCTTGCCAGAGGCATGCCAATACAACAATTCAGATGCTCCTCCAAACTGCAAATATCCCCAACCCTCCTTCAGAATGCATGCACAGTACTTCCCACCTCCATGATTCAAGTCCAGCTAACCAGTTTCCCTGAATCCCTTCATAAATATTATCTTGCTCGCATTCCAACAGCACGTCTTCATAAAAACCACTTTCCTCTAACTCTTATTTAACATGCTCACACATGCCTGCTGTGTGAGCATGTTAAACAGGAGTTTGCTTCTTGCTTTGGATTCTTTGAATATTCACTCAATATTTATTACTCTCAGACATCTCTCTACTGTCTACAGCCTACTTCTCACTGCAATGTTCAAAACCCATGACTCAAACCCATACACAAATGTTGGTACAACTATAATTTGGTACATTCTTCTTTTTGCCTAACTTTTGTTTTTAACACAATGGCTGCTTCCCATAGAGGCAGGGTGACCCAAAAAAGAAAAAACTTTCATCATTCAACACTTTTTTTTTTTTTTTCAACAAGTCGGCAGTCTCCCACCGAGGCAGGGTGACCCAAAAAAAGAAAAAATCCCCAAAAAGAAAATACTTTCATCATCATTCAACACTTTCACCACACTCACACATTATCACTGTTTTTGCAGAGGTGCTCAGAATACAACAGTTTAGAAGCATACACATATAAAGATACACAACATATCCCTCCAAACTGCCAATATCCCAAACCCCTTCTTTAAAGTGCAGGCATTGTGCTTCCCATTTCCAGGACTCAAGTCCGACTATATGAAAATAGCCGGTTTTCCTGAATCCCTTCACTAAATATTACCCTGCTCACACTCCAACAGATCGTCAGGTCCCAAGTACCATTCGTCTCCATTCACTCCTAACACGCTCACACACGCTTGCTGGAAGTCCAAGCCCCTTGCCCACAAAACCTCCTTTACCCCCTCTCTCCAACCCTTTCGAGGACGACCCCTACCCCGTCTTCCTTCCCCTATAGATTTATATGCTTTCCATGTCATTCTACTTTGATCCATTCTCTCTAAATGACCAAACCACCTCAACAACCCCTCTTCTGCCCTCTGACTAATACTTTTATTAACTCCACACCTTTTCCTAATTTCCACACTCCGAATTTTCTGCATAATATTTACACCACACATTGCCCTTAAACAGGACATCTCCACTGTCTCCAACCGTCTCCTTGCTGCTGCATTTACCACCCAAGCTTCACACCCATATAAGAGTGTTGGTACTACTATACTTTCATACATTCCCTTCTTTGCCTCCATAGATAATGTTTTTTGACTCCACATATACCTCAACGCACCACTCGCCATTTTTCCCTCATCAATTCTATGATTAACCTCATCCTTCATAAATCCATCCGTCGACACACATTATGAAAATTCTAGGTAGTAGGTTGGTAGACAGCAACCACCCAGGGAGGTACTACCGTCCTGCCAAGCTAGTGTAAAACAAAAACCTGCAATTGTTTTACATGATGGTAGGATTGCTGGTGTCCATTTTTCCGTCTCATAAACATGCAAGATTTCAGGTACGTCTTGCTACTTCTACTTACACTTAGGTCACACTACACATACATGTACAAGGATATATAAACACACACCCCTCTGGGTTTTCTGTTATTTTCTTTCTAGTTCTTGTTATTGTTTATTTCATCTTATCTCCATGGGGAAGTGGAACAGAATTATTCCTCTGTAAGCCATGCGTGTTGTAAGAGGTGACTAAAATGCCGGGAGCAAGGGGCTAGTAACCCTTTCTCCCATATAAATTACTAAGCTTGAAAAGAGAAACTTTCGTTTTTCTTTTTGGGCCACCCTGCCTCGGTGTGGTACGGCCGGTTTGTTGAAAGAGGAAATATATTATGAAAATACTGTATGCTCATTTGTCATCTTGAATATGACACTGTATAATCAAACTACTAGTAACAAATTTGTTTCTAACAACTCTAGTAGTACTGTACACAATTCTGCCTACCAATTTTCTGGTTGGCTATTATAAAGTATCCCTAATCATTGTTTACATATAAAATTTATAAAAGTATATTGTGTTTATACACGACTTGTGCAATATTCTCCATGAAGACCGATTAAATTTGCTAAAGCTTTTCCTTTACTTGTACTGCAACTATAAATCATTACTAGTCAAGGTGAAATACTTGCAACACCTAAACACCTTGTATTTCACCATACAACTGCATTTCTAGTGTCTAGGAATATAAACTAGGAAATCAAACTTGGCCCTAAATTAACTCTTCAGATGAAGCCAATAAATCATTATGCCACTCAAATATTCAGACAAATATTTAACAGCTTAATATTTTTCCTTCCATTTTAATCTTAAGAACCTCAAATGACATAATACTAATAATAATCCTAGGTAGTAGGTTGGTAGAGAGCAACCGCCGAGGGAGCTACTACCGTCCTACCAAGCAACTGTAAAGCGGAAGCCGGTACTTGTTTTACATGATGGTATGATTGCTTGTGTCTTTTTTCTGTCTCAAACATGCAAGATTTCAGGTACATCTTGCTACTTCTACTTACACCTGGGTCACACTACACATACATGTACAAGTCTATATATATACACCCCTCTAGGTTTTCTTCTATTTTCTTACTAGTTCTTGTTCTTTTTTTATTTCCTCTTATCTCCATGGGGAAATGGAACAGAATTCTTCCTTAGTAAGCTATGCATGTTGAAAGAGGCGACTAAAATGCCGGGAGCAAGGGGCTAGTAACCCCTTCTGTATAAACTACAAAATTTAACGAGAAACTTTCGTTTTTCTTTTAGCATGATACACGTTTATACAAAGGAGTGTAACAATTGGGTGAACATGCCAACAGCCCCTTAATGTGTAGAGCATTTTGGGCAAACTTAAGACTAACTGAATGCAATAACAATGCTGTAATTGTAAATATGGTCATTAGGCGAGTTACAAGGAATACAAGAAAATTGCATATTCTATTAGTTCATGCTATATGGCTTTAATAAGTTATGTAAAAAAGAATTACAGTTTTGATATAGTACATATAAAATACAGTATTATAATTTAGCCCAATTTAAAACAATGAAGTTGAAACAATTTTAATTCTGAAGTAATTATTAAATAGCTGAGCAATCAAGCACAATTTGCAACACTGAAATTGAATATAAACATCCCACTGCTGGACAAGTCACATGAACATGCATACATACATCTGTGATTCGTTGAACCTCTTTACGTTTAATATTTTCCATGCGTTCCTGTTCTCTTCTAGCTACTTCTGCCTTCCTGTCATTCTCTTCACGTCTCTTCTGAGCCTGGAATTCTCCTTCAATCTGAAAGTGGGTGTATTGAAATTTATGAACAAAACGTACCTTTTATTATACAGTAATTCTATTATCTTTGCATTCTTAACCCTTTGAGGGTACAAGAATTTTCAAAAAATTTTGATTTTTTTTTCTTATGAAGTGGTAGAGAATCTTTTTTCTGAAGGTAATAAAACAAAAGTACAAAATTTGATGGAAAACTGAAAAAATTACACTATTGCGAATTTTACTGCATCAGTGATATTTACACATGAGCAATTTTGCCTAATGACTCCTATTTTAAGCCAATTTACATTATTCCAGTTGACTAAAGTCTTAGCTATTTTGCTAGTATTACTTCTATTTCATGGAATGAGCACAAGAAACTGCCCAATCAACTATTTCAACAACCCAATAGTGATCAGAAATTGGTAATTTGGTCAATTTCACACAAAGTTCAAAATATTCCAATTTCAAAATAGTGTCCAGAATAAACAATGCAGACATTCCTGGGACTAAAACAACATTTCCTCTGTTTATTAGTTATGTTTCGTGAATGTATATCAGACCCACCTGTTGACACGTATTGGACGCATGAAGTCGCTACTAAAATCAATCAAAATCACCTCTATTTCTGTATTATATCTTCCATTCTATCAATTGAGACCAAGAAACCGCAAATACAACCGTAAAAAACATACAAAAATACAAAGCACAATCGGTATTTCAATCCAAAAACGGTTTAATTATTTTCTCATTATGCACTATGTGCTGCAGGATTTGTTTTATATGGTGCACACTTACCACAGAAGCATTCTCTCATATCTAGGCCCAAATTTACCGCTCACAGCTCCTCTGAGTGAGCTGACCTCATGACGTAGAACTACGGTTTGGACCCCTCAAAGGGTTGAACAATTTTCAAAAACACAAAGACACAATTACAAAATGACAGCAATGGATAAAGAAATTAGCAATTTCTTCACTATTTTAATGAAGACAATCATGCAAGTCATTTTCATCTATACATCTTTGATCATTTTTACTCGTATACCTTTGAAGATATGTACTAAGTATCACTTCATATAAGAAACTTAGTAGTTTTAAGTATACTTACTAAAGTGAATCTCTTAATAGGATCCAGCTTATCCTCCTGTGCATCAATTGTTTTTAGGAAGTCATCATGACACCTGATCAGCTCTTCTACCTCTGTTATAGAATCGCCCATTTGGTCTTCCTTGACTATAGATTCACGTGATTCTATCCATGCTTCAAATACCTGAGTGTCCCGCAAAAATACCTGCAAAATATGATTAATTTGGTAAGAGCAGTGACAGTGAAAAAGATATTTTTGCCATGATACAAAGTGGCAAAATATTAATAAATACTTAAAAAGCAAAAAGAAATATAGGTGAGGATTAAAATACTCTAATGCCACATTAATCCTTTCACTGCCTACACTCCTGAAACTGAATATTGCTCTCTGTATATAGTAAAAAAAAATCCGAAGGTAATAACAAAATTATAAAATTTGATGGAAAACTTAGAGCATTATGCAGGCACAAAGTTAGCAGTCTGGGCACAACTTGTGCAATGGAAATTGTGCCCTATTTGCTCCATTAGATCAAATTCTTTGCTATATCAACTCAAAAACCACTTAAATACTACTTTAAATTACACAAGATCAAACTACTTTTCCCATCATGCACCACATGGGGCAGGTTATTTTTTTTTTATACTGTAAACACTCACCGCAGACATTCCCTCACATCTGTCAAGGTTTACCCCTCACAGCTTATGCAAGGGAGCTGTGCTCAAAGCAGATCTACATAAAGAACCTTACATAAATAACACAGATCTACATGACATCCACTCCAAGACAGTGGCATCATAAGGGGAGGTGGGCAGGGGAGAGCAGGCTGCCTCTCGTGACACCATAGAGCCTCTAAAGAAGGTGGCACTAATGCCCAAAACAGTGCTACAGCAACATAAGAGAAAAATCCTGTTTCTATATAGCCTATTATATATATTTTTTCTTCAACAAGTTGGCCATCTCCCACCTAGGCAAGGTGACCCAAAAAGAAAGAAAATCCCCAAAATGAAAATACTTTCATCATTCAACACTTTCACCTCACTCACACAATCACTGTTTTAGCAAAGGTGCCCAGATACAACACTTCAGAAGCATATATAAAGATACAATAAAAAAAAGTGACCTGAAATAATATAATAAACTCCCTATAGAACATAATATCAGGGCCCCAATTATATATATATATACCGTCCAATTACACATCCCTCCAAACTGCCAATATCCCAAACCCCTCCTTTCAAGTCCAGGCATTATACTTCCCATTTCGAGAATTCAAGTCCGGCTATATAAAAATAGCCAGTTTCCCTGAATCCCTTCACTAAATATTACCCTGCTCACACTCCAACAGCTCATCAGGTCCCAAAAAACATTCGTCTCCATTCACCCCTATCTAACATGCTCATGCACGCTTGTTGCAAGTCCCACCCCCTCGCCCACAAAACCTCCTTTATCCCTCCCTCCAACCTTTTCAAGGGCGACCCCTACCCTGCCTTCCTTCCCCTACAGATTTATACGCTCTCCATGTCATTCTACTTTGATCCATTCTCTCTAAATGACCAAACCACCTCAACAACCCCTCTTCAGCCCTCTGACTAACACTTTCATTAACTCCACACCAACTCCTAATTTCCACACTCCAAATTCTTTGTATAATATTTACACCACACACTGCCCTTAGACAGGACATGTCCACTGCCTCCAACCACCTCCTCGATGCAGCATTTACAACCCAAGCTTCACACCCATATACGAGTGTTGGTACCACTATACTTTCATACATTCCCTTCTTTTCCTCCATAGATAACGTATTTTGTCTCCATATGCATTTCAATGCACCACTCACCTTTCTTTCCCTCATCAATTCTATGATTAACCTCATCCTTCATAAACTCGTCCGCTGACACATCAACTCCCAAATATCTGAAAACATTCACTTCTTCCATACTCCTCCTCTCCAATGTGATATCCAATTTTTATTTATCTAAATCACTTGATACCCTCATCACCTTACTTTTATCTATGTTTACTTTCAACTTCCTACCTTTACACACCCTCCCAAACTCGTCCACAAATAACAAAAAAAGGCACAATACCATGACTGGAACGATACACAAATAACCCACACACAGAAGAGAGGAGTTTACGATAACGTTTCGGTCTGACTTGGACTATTTACAAAGGCACACTTTGTAAATAGTCCAAGTCGGACCGAAACGTTGTCATAAGCTCCTCTCTTCTATGTGCGGGTTATTTGTGTATCATCCAGAAACCTTTGCAACTTTTCTTTAGAATCACCCATAAGCACAGTATCATCAGCAAAAAGTAACTGTCAACTCCCATTTTGTATTTAATTCTCCATAATTTAATCCCACCCCTCTCCCCAACACCCTAGCATTTACTTCTTTTGCAACCCCATCTATAAATATATTAAAACAACCATGGTGATATTACACATCCCTGTCTAAGACCTACAGTGGAACCTCAAATTTCGAACTTAATCCATTCCAGGAGCTAGTTCTAAATTCGAAAAGTCTAAAATTCGAAGCAATATTTCCCATAAGAAATAATGGAAATACAATTAATCCATTCCAGAAACCCAAAAATATTAAAAAAAAAAAAATACATTTTATAGAGATTAATTAGTTTTACATACACACAACAAATGCTATAGTCTTTAATTATGTATAGTAATATAAAACAACATTTTTACTTACCTTTATTGAAAATTGGTGATGGCATCTGGAAGATAGGGAGGAGGAGAGGGGGAGTTGGGGTTATTGTTTGGAAGGAGAATCCCCCTCCACGAGGACTTCCGGTATCAAAGCCCTCTCTGGGGTTGCTTCCCTTCTCTGTATTTTAATGCCACTAGGACCAGCTTGAGAGTCATTGGACCCCAGTCTCACAAATTAACTATCCACAGTCGTCCGTTTCTGCCTCACAAAATAACTATCCACAGTCGTCTGTTTCTGTCTCACAAAACTCCACAGTCGTCTGTTTCTGCCTCACAAAATAACTGTCCACAGTCGTCTGTTTCTGTCTCACAAAACTCCACAGTCGTCTGTTTCTGTCTCACAAAACTCCACAGTCGTCTGTTTCTGTCTCACAAAACTCCACAGTCGTCTGTTTCTGTCTCACAAAATAACTGTCCACAGTCCTCTGTACATCCTGGCAAGCTCAAGTTTCACTCCAATCTCATACTTCTGTATTATTTCCTTCTTCACATCTATGGTGTTTCTCACTTTCTTTACCACAGGGGTACCTCTAGCAAGTTTTTTGGGGCCCATGGCAGCTTATTTCACAGCCCCACAAGCACTAAACACAATTAAATAATCGTAAAATAATCGTAATAATGCGCGGGGACGCGGAGAGAGTGGGCCAGCGGACAGGTCCTGTACCCAGTGGTCCAAAAATAGGGGCGCGTTTGATAATAGGGACACAGTTTGTCCGAAAAAATGGTCTTATTTTCGAAACGTTCGATGTGTGATACGTTCGATTTTTGAGGTTCCACTGTACTTTTACCAGGAAGTAATCTCCCTTTCTTCTATACACCCTAACCTGAGCCTCGCCATCCTCATAAAAACTCTTTATAGCATTTAGTAACTTACCACCTATTCCATATACTTGTAACATCTGCCACATTGCTCGCCTCCCCACTATCATATGACTTTTCTAAATCCATAAATGCAATGAAAACTTCCCTACCTTTATCTAAATACTGTTCACATATATGATTCAATGTAAACACTATCTACACATCCACTACCCATTCTAAAGCCTCCTTGCTCATCCGCAATTCTACTTTCTGTCTTGCCTTTAATTCTTTCAATAATAACCCTACCGTACACTTTTCCTGGTATACTCAGTAAACTTATTCCCCTACAATTTTTACAGTCTCTGCCAATCCCTAGATACCTTCCCCTTCTCCATACATTTATTAAACAAATATACCACCACTCCAACACCATATACTCCCCTGCTTTTAACATTTCTGTCATGATCCGTCAGTTACTGCTGCTTTACCCCCTTTCATTCTACGTAATGCCTCATGCACCTCCCCCACACTCACATCCCGCTCTTCTTCACTCCTAAAATATTTTATACCTCCCTGGCCAGTGCATGAAATTACCGCCTCCCTTTCTTTGTAGACATGTAAAAGTTCCTCAAAATATTCCTGCCATTTACCCAATACCTCCAGCTCCACATCTACTAACTCCCCTGCTCTGTTTTTAACTGACAAATCCATTCATTCCCTAGGCTTTCTTAACTTGTTTAACTCGCTCCAAAATTTTTTCTTGTTTTCATTAAAATTTCTTGACAGTGCCTCTCCCACTATCATCTGCTCTCCTTTTCCACTCTTTCACCACTCTCTTCACCTTTCTTTTACTCTCCATATACTCTCCTCTTCTTATAACACTTCTGCTTTGTAAATACCTCCCATAAGCTACCTTTTTCTCTTTTATCACACCCTTTATTTCATCATTCCACCAATCACTTCTTCCCTCCTGCACCCATCCTTCTATAGCCACACACCTCTACCCAACATTCTAATACTGCATTTTTAAAACTATTCCAACCCTCTTCAACCCTCACCCCCACTACTCATACTTGCACTACCCCACCTTTCTGCCAATAGTTTCGTATATCTCGCCCTAACTTCCTCCTCCCTTAGTTTATACACTTTCACCTCTCATTACTTGTTTCCATTTTCCTTTCGTCCCATCTACCTCTTACTCTAACTGTAGCTACAACTAAATAATGATCCGATATATCAGTTGCCCCTATATAAACATGTACATCCTGAAGCATACCCATCAACCTTTTATCCACCAATACATAATCTAACTACTTTCATTACGTGTTACATCATACCTTGTATACTTATTTATCCTCTTTTTCATAAAATATGTATTACTTATTGTCAAACCTCTTTTTACACATAGCTCAATTAAAGGCTCCCCATATTCCTTTACCCCTGGCACCCCTAATTTACTTACTACTCCCTCCACAACGTTTTTACCCACTTTAGCATTGAAATTCCCAACCACAAGTACTCTCACACTTGGTTCAAAACTTCCCACATACTCACTCAACATTTCCCAAAATCTCTCTCTCAGAAGTTTAGCTTCTCTCTTCTCCAGGTGCATAAATGCTTACTATAACCTACTTTTCACATCCAACCCTTATTTTACTCCACATAATCCTTGAATTCATGCATTTATATTCCCTCTTTTCCTGCCATAACTTATCCTTCAACATTATTGCTACTCCTCCTTTAGCTCTATTTGAAACCCCTGACCTACTCCCATTTATTTCTCCCCACTGAAACTCTCCCACCCCCTTCAGCTTTGTTTCACTTAAACCAGGGCATCCAGCTTCTTATTCATAACATCCACAATCATCTCTCTTCCTTATCTTTCACCCAACATCCACACACATTCAAACATCCCACTGATGTTTTTTTCTTTTTAGTAGGCTATATAGAAAATAAATAAGCCTATATAGAGAAAATAACTGATTTTGATGATGTGATAGATGATTTTGCAGGATTGAAGGCAAGGAAATGTAAGATTTGATTCACTGAGATGTTACCTGTACTCAAGGTCAAATCGGAATTGGTGTATTTCTGATATTGCAATCTTTTTGTTGCCTGTACTAAAAGTGGTATTTAAGTTTCCTCAACATTACTACAATTATTTATTATTAATAAAGGTGAGAAGTATTCTCCTGTTTGGTTTATGATCCTTAAATGTTCTCACTGCTAAACATTAGTCATTGGTTATGCAGTAGTGATGTAACTGGAGTTTACTCCTCCCCCATCCCTTCCACCCTTGGAATTCATGTGGGTGACACCAAAGATGCCACCCCATGTGAAACCAACTCTAGCAATGCCATTGCTCCATATGGTAACAACACACACTACCCAAATAGGAATTGGTCAGCACTTTGTACAGCAAGATAGTGCAGAAGAGTGAAACAGTTTGCCAAGTAGAGTTACTGAAGTTAACATTTTGGGCAACTTTAAAAATATGGTTAAATAAATATAAAAGTGAAAAGGGTTGTATTGAAAAAGTACCTCCCTAAAATTAAGCCAGTAAGCCTGTTCCAGTGCTTCTCTATTCTAATGTTATGCCTGGAGCCTATAATTGGCCTTAAAAACAAAATTAGCTAAGCAGCACCATTATCTAACATTGTGCATATTAAATGATACCAAGGCAGGTAGGTGGGCATGCATATAAACAAAGATCACCAGGGTAAATAGCCAAGAGACAATGTCAATGATATCAAAAAACATTACATCTGGAACAAGATCATACATCAAGATACTTTATCTATAAGCCAAGATACCCAAAGTGAATTGAAAATATTGTAATAATAAATTTATTAAAGGACTGTGGAATACAATACCATGAAGTGTGCGTAAAAAAACATTTACATTTAATGTGGCAACATTCCTTTACCTTTGAAGATAAAACATTGTTGTTAAGAAAAAACAATATTTACCCTTAAGTCAAAGTTGTGTTCATATATAGTATCTCTCGAGTGCCAGGATTCAACGAGCAGCTTCCTACGAGCCTCCAGGGTTGCAATCTTTTCAGCTATTTCTTCTGCCATGAAATGACCTTGATCAATGAGTGCATTACCAGCTGCACTGAACTTATCAAAAGCATCAGCCCGGGCATCAATTTCAGTCTTGTATTCCTTGTGCCTTGAGATTACTGCTTCAGAACCAGGCACATCTCTTGGTAACTCTGGTGCTGTAATCTTAGCCAAAATTTCATTCAGCCAAGCCCTTCAAGATACAGGTAAGGTATTATCATTTAATAACAAAAATTAATTTTTGAAGAAATTACAGACAATTATTCTGTTATGTCCCAAAAATTTCAGGAAGGATTTAAAACAAGTTTAAAGAAAGTTTAAAACAAATTAAAATATAATCCCAATATCAAATTCTTTTTCATCAATTTCTTATTGTCCTTAGTTGCCTGCCTTACCTTCCCAAAAAGAAAAATGATGGGAAAATTTTGGTGGAAAGATTTTCAGATTGAAGAGGTCTAGCCACACATTCTAACCCCCCACCCATCCCCCCATTTCCTTCCCCTGCAACTAATCTGCAAAAATCTTTTTTTAAAAAGGTTCTTGTGCCTAAATTTGTACTTTTTATGTTGGAAGATGTGTACTCGTAAAAACAAAAAAGAGGAAGGTGTTACATTAATGGGAAGGAATAAACCAGCAAGGATTATACAACACCAGGGAGATGGGATGGATGGGTGGGGGGATGGGGGGAATGGTGATCCAAAGGAGAGGGTAGCTCCAGTTCATCAGATCAAGAGCATCAGCATCAACCCCCCCCCCCTTTGAAAAGGGTTTTAGATTTAGTTAATGCTTTAACTTATGTATAGTAAATGAAGTTTACATTTAAAAATGCCCATTTCCTATGCACCTCAGATTTGACTAGTTACAAATGGATGCCATTAAAATGCATCCATCAATATCTACAATACTGAATAATGCTGGAGGTGAGTTTCTTATGTACTAAATGAAGTCTGAGACACAAAGCATTGTAAAAGATTTTGAAGCTCACACATCCTTCAGACTAATTTAATATTACTTTTATGAGTATTTCTCAAAGACCAGGGCTATTTCCTGTAATTTTACTCAAAATATTTTTCTTTCATACACTATTCAACATTACTTTGCAATTATAAGTTGCATCAACAGCATATTCAAGTCAGACATTACCATCTCAGCCAATAAAGCAAATTACTGAATTACTGATATAACTCTTACACCTCAACTGATCTAAGTCTCAGAGTAAAGGAATACAAATAAACTTCTAAAGGAATCTTACATTAATTCTCTGTAATCATCAAAGTATGACTGTAGCTTCTCTGCTTGATACAGCTTATCCTTTCTTTGTGCAGACTTGTCAAGAAGATCATTCCATGCTTCAACAGTTTCCTCGTGTTTGACAGAAATATGTTCTCTCGCATCTGGAAACAGTTCAGCTAGTCGCTTGGCTTCCTCAACAACAGACTCCACCTAAGTAAAACCATAATGAACATAAAAGTCTATATATTCCACATTTTTATATATTTTTGACAAATAGTTCAGAGCAAAAGACAATGAATTGGAAAAGCTTTGAATACCTCTGGCATATTTTCTTATGCCAACAGTATCTCGCCAAAGTAGGAATATTGCTATTATTTATTTATATTTAATAGTGCCACACCAATATGGGTCACTAAAATACTGTGCATTAATATTATTAAAGTGAAAGATACATCTGAAATGAGAATATTTATATAAATGGGCTACTAAAATAATGTAACAAAAATTAAACAAATATTAGCCTATAAATAAAAGATGAGGGAACAAGGGGCTAGTAACCCCTTCTATATTATAATTATTAACACACTGGCCGATTCCCACCAAGGCAGGGTGGCCCGAAAAAGAAAAACTTTCACCATCATTCACTCCATTACTGTCTTTCCAGAAGGGTGCTTTACACTACAGTTTTTAAACTGCAACATTAACACCCCTCCTTCACAGTGCAGGCACTGTACTTCTCCTATATACACTACTAAATTTAAAAGAGAAACTTTCATTTTTCCTTTTGGGTTACCCTGCCTTGGTGAGATACAGCCAGTTTGTTGAAGTAAGATAAATAGATATTTCTGATAGCTAATAAGGAGTGAATATTGTGTATCGAAGATAAAATGGAAGCGTTTACAGAAAAATGTGAAAAAATGTAACGGAACAAGTTTGGAAAATGAAGATTGTGTGTTGATGCAAAGGGGTTGTAGTCTACATGATTCAGTTCATGTAAAGAGGATTCCTTGAAAGACTACTTATTACTATTTATATACCAAGTGGCCCTAAATATCCATTAGCAATTTACTGATAAAAAATGAATTACTATATTAACACCATTAGCAGCGAGAGAGGTGTACTCTACAAAGTATGCTGCTGAATAAAGGGTTTAATGTACAATTGGGAGCAACTTTTCTGCTAATATAAAACACTACTACATGGTGAGTATCCTTCATCCAAAGCTCCAAAACCCCAAATTTTTTTTGAGCACTGACAATGCCACAAATGGAAAACTTCAGTTGGCTCTGGGGAGGTTTTCAAGCATTGCACAAGTATCGGTGTACCCAGACATCTGTGACCCCGTGACCTCGCATAACCTGGGTGGGGCTCTGATGTTCTATTAGCACCAGTGTGCTATCAACAGTCATCACTGCCAGACCTATGTGCATTAATCACTGTGATTATACTTTCTAGTTGTAGCTACACTGAGAGTAAAAGGTAGATGGGATACAAGGAGAATAGAAGCATCAGGGAAGAGAGAGGTGAAGGTTTATAAACTAAAAGAGGAGGCAGTTAGGGTAAGATATAAACAGCTATTGGAGGATAGATGGGCTAATGAGAGCATAGGCAATGGGGTCGAAGAGGTATGGGGTAGGTTTAAAAATGTAGTGAGAGTGTTCAGCAGAAGTTTGTGGTTACAGGAAAGTGGGTGCAGGAGGGAAGAGGAGCGATTGGTGGAATGATGATGTAAAGAGAGTAGTAAGGGAGAAAAAGTTAGCATATGAGAAGTTTTTACAAAGTAGAAGTGATGCAAGGAGGGAAGAGTATATGGAGAAAAAGAGAGAAGTTAAGAGAGTGGTGAAGCAATGTAAAAAGAGAGCAAATGGGGAGAGTGGGTGAGATGTTATCAACAAATTTTTGTTGAAAATAAGAAAAAGTTTTGGAGTGAGATTAACAAGTTAAGAAAGCCTAGAGAACAAATGGATTTGTCAGTTAAAAATAGGAGAGGAGAGTTATTAAATGGAGAGTTAGAGGTATTGGGAAGATGGAAGGAATATTTTGAGGAATTGTTAAATGTTGATGAAGATAGGGAAGCTGTGATTTCGTGTATAGGCAAGGAGGAATAACATCTTGTAGGAGTGAGGAAGAGCCAGTTGTGAGTGTGGGGGAAGTTCGTGAGGCAGTAGGTAAAATGAAAGGGGTAAGGCAGCCGGGGATTGATGGGATAAAGATAGAAATGTTAAAAGCAGGTGGGGATATAGTTTTGGAGTGGTTGGTGCAATTATTTAATAAATGTATGGAAGAGGGTAAGGTACCTAGGGATTGGCAGAGAGCATGCATAGTTCCTTTGTATAAAGGCAAAGGGGATAAAAGAGAGTGCAAAAATTATAGGGGATAAGTCTGTTGAGTGTACCTGGTAAAGTGTATGGTAGAGTTATAATTGAAAGAATTAAGAGTAAGACAGAGAATAGGATAGCAGATGAACAAGGAGGCTTTAGGAAAGGTAGGGGGTGTGTGGACCAGGTGTTTACAGTGAAACATACAAGTGAACAGTATTTAGATAAGGCTAAAGAGGTCTTTGTGGCATTTATGGATTTGGAAAAGGCGTATGACAGGGTGGATAGGGGGGCAATGTGGCAGATGTTGCAAGTGTATGGTGTAGGAGGTAGGTTACTGAAAGCAGTGAAGAGTTTTTACGAGGATAGTGAGGCTCAAGTTAGAGTATGTAGGAAAGAGGGAAATTTTTTCCCAGTAAAAGTAGGCCTTAGACAAGGATGTGTGATGTCACCGTGGTTGTTTAATATATTTATAGATGGGGTTGTAAGAGAAGTAAATGCGAGGGTCTTGGCAAGAGGCGTGGAGTTAAAAGATAAAGAATCACACACAAAGTGGGAGTTGTCACAGCTGCTCTTTGCTGATGACACTGTGCTCTTGGGAGATTCTGAAGAGAAGTTGCAGAGATTGGTGGATGAATTTGGTAGGGTGTGCAAAAGAAGAAAATTAAAGGTGAATACAGGAAAGAGTAAGGTTATGAGGATAACAAAAAGATTAGGTGATGAAAGATTGAATATCAGATTGGAGGGAGAGAGTATGGAGGAGGTGAACGTATTCAGATATTTGGGAGTGGACGTGTCAGCGGATGGGTCTATGAAAGATGAGGTGAATCATAGAATTGATGAGGGAAAAAGAGTGAGTGGTGCACTTAGGAGTCTGTGGAGACAAAGAACTTTGTCCTTGGAGGCAAAGAGGGGAATGTATGAGAGTATAGTTTTATACCAACGCTCTTATATGGGTGTGAAGCGTGGGTGATGAATGTTGCAGCGAGGAGAAGGCTGGAGGCAGTGGAGATGTCATGTCTGAGGGCAATGCGTGGTGTGAATATAATGCAGAGAATTCGTAGTTTGGAAGTTAGGAGGAGGTGCGGGATTACCAAAACTGTTGTCCAGAGGGCTGAGGAAGGGTTGTTGAGGTGGTTCGGACATGTAGAGAGAATGGAGCGAAACAGAATGACTTCAAGAGTGTATCAGTCTGTAGTGGAAGGAAGGCGGGGTAGGGGTCGGCCTAGGAAGGGTTGGAGGGAGGGGGTAAAGGAGGTTTTGTGTGCGAGGGGCTTGGACTTCCAGCAGGCATGCGTGAGCGTGTTTGATAGGAGTGAATGGAGACAAATGGTTTTTAATACTTGACGTGCTGTTGGAGTGTGAGCAAAGTAACATTTATGAAGGGATTCAGGGAAACCAGCAGGCCGGACTTGAGTCCTGGAGATGGGAAGTACAGTGCCTGCACTCTGAAGGAGGGGTGTTAATGTTGCAGTTTAAAAACTGTAGTGTAAAGCACCCTTCTGGCAAGACAGTGATGGAGTGAATGATGGTGAAAGTTTTTCTTTTTCGGGCCACCCTGCCTTGGTGGGAATCGGCCGGTGTGATAATAAAAAAAAAATTATACTGTATTTTATGCTTATCTCTGCTCTGTTGTGTGACCCTAAGTAGTACACAGTAGCCTTTTAATTAAAATTTGGCATTGCAAGTAGAGACAAAGCCTGCTGTTGTTTTTTGTTGTTTAACAGCTGATTCAGGTATTCTGCCAATGCTGCTGTGCTACTTTTAATAAAAAATATTGTATAAAAATACTTTCAGGCTGTGTGTATAAGGTGTACATGAAATATAAATGGACTTCGTTTAGATTTGTGGCCCCATCACCAAACTATCTCGTTCATATATCCGAAAAATTCCAAAATTAGACACTTCCGGCCCCATGCATTTCAGATAAGTGATACTTAACTTCTAGTTAACCAAAGCAGAAAATGATTTGAGAATGCAGCATGCACATTTGAGTGTGTAAGATCAGCAAGTGGAAGCAAGTGATTATTGGAATTTCATGGGATGTTGGATATGGACTATGAACACAGTAACATTTATCATTGGACTGAAGGAACTGGTTAGCCAGACTTGAGTTCTGGAGGTGGCAAATGTACTCTTAAAGAAAAGGTGATGCCACAGAAAATAAAAAATTAGACTAAAACCTTAACATTTACATACCTGTTCCTTTACTGCAGCTAAGTCTCTCTCAAAGCCTTGATGCTTCCTTGCTAAACCTTGAATAGTTTCTAAATCATGGCCATAATCTTCTGATGATATAAAAGCATCCTTCTCTGCAATCCAGCTGATCGTCTCGTCTGCATTTCGATCAAATACATGGACCTACAAATGTTAAGCAAACACTAATAAAATTCTGATACAGAGCATATCAAGATACAAGAACAGGTATATGTTTTATATGAAGAATAAGTGTACAGAATGACACTATTTAACCCTTTCAGGGTTTTCGACGTACTAGTATGGCTTATGCACCAGTTATTGACGTACCAGTACGCCTAAATTCTAGCACCTTCAAATCTAGCGAGAGAAAGCTGGTAGGCCTACATATGAAAGAATGGGTCCATGTGGTCTGTGTGCACAGTATAAAAAAAAATCCTGCAGCACACAGTGCGTAATGAGAAAAAAAAAAAAAAACTGTTTTTGGATTGAAACAGCGACTTTGCACTGTATTTTCGTATGGTATTTATGGTTGTATTCTAGTTTTCCTGGTCTCATTTTATAGAATGGAAGACATTTTACAGAAATTGAGATGATTTTAACTGGTTTCCCAATGAAAAGTACCTTGAAATTGAGCTCAAAGTAGCAGAAATCTTCGATTTTTACCAAAGTTCAAAAGTAAACAAATCATGCCAAGCGTCCAATACACGTCAACTAGCGAGTCTAATATTCTTTCACAAGTGTGCTGATATTATTTATACCATTTGTACACTAATGCAGTAGTCTGCATAACAGTAAATCTTCTATTTTTTGTAAGAATAAAAATTCAAAGTGGAAAGCAAAAGAAATATAAGAGGGGCCTGGGGACGTGACTAACAAACAGAGAACTTATTTTAGTGCCAGGAATGTATTTCTTATTTATTCTGGACCCTATTTGGAAATTGGCATCTTCTGAAATTTGTGTGAAATTGGCAAAATTGCCAATTTCTAACCACGTTTTGGGTAGTTGAAATTGGTAAATGGGTGGTTTCTTGTACTCATTCGATAGAAAAAATGGAGTTCTAGCAAAATAAATATGATTTTTGTCGACTAGTACACAGGAATTGGCCATAAATAAGGCTCAAATTGGGCAGAATCACCGATGTGTAAACATCGGTGAGATCGCTAACTTCGTGAGAGCATAATTCCCTAAGTTTTCCATCAAATTTCATACTTTTGGTGTCATTGTGATTGGGAAAAGATTCTCTATCATTTCATAAGAAAAACGATTTTTTTTTTTTTCCAAAAAATTTTCGACCCTGAGAACAAGTTTAACCCTTTCAGGGTCCGTCCCGTAGATCAACGGCTTTACGTTCAGGGTCCAAACCGTAGATCTACGTCATGAGCTCAGCTCACTCTGATAAACTGTGAGTGGTGAATTTGGGCCTAGATATGAGAGAATACATCTATGTGGTATGTGTGCACCACATAAAACAAATCCTGCAGCACACTGTGTATGAGAGAAAAAAACTGAGACCATGATTTTCGATTAAAACAGCGACTTTGCAGTGTTTTTTCGTATGTTTTTTATAGTTGTATTTGTGATTTCTTGGTCTCATTTGATAGAATGGAAGACATATTACAGAAATAGAGATAATTTTGATTGGTGTTAGCACTGGAAATGGCTTGAAATTGAGCTCAAATTGGCGGAAATGTTAAATTTTTGCCGATGTTCAAGAGTAAACAAACGACCTCACACGTCTAATACACGCCAGCTGGTGGGTCTAATATACATTCACAAATGTGGTGATGATATTTATACAATTATTACAATATTGCATAACAGTAATTCTTCTATTTTTTGGTGTGAATAAAAATTCATTATGTGAATAAAAAATCAAAATGGAATTTATTTGTAAAGCCTCAAAACCTAACTAATGAACAGAGGAAATGTTAGTTTAGTGCCAGGAATACCTACATTGTTTATTCTGGACCCTATTTTGAAATTGGAACATTTTGAACTTTGTGTTAAATTGGCCAAATTACCAATTTCCGGTCACTTTATTTTGTAGTTGAAACAGTTGACTTGGCGATTTCTTGTGCTCAATCGATAGAATAGAAGTAATACTAGTGAAATAGCTGAGAATTTGGTCGACTGGAATAATGTAATTGGCCTAAAATGGGAGTCAAAGTCGGCAAAATCGCAGATTCGTAAATATCGCTGACACATCAAAATTCATGAGAGCATAATTTCGTCAATTTTCCATCAAATTTCGTACTTTTTGCTTTATTACATTCACAAAAAGATTCTCTACCATTTCATAAGAAAAAATAAAAAAATTTTTTTTTTTAAATTCTTGGACACTGGGGCACCACTTCAGATTTTGGCCTTGGACCCTGAAAGGGTTAAGAGAGGGCCTCTCGACCCTGAAAGGGTTAATATCTCAAGTTTGCAAATCCTTTTCCATAAGTTGTCGTTTTTATCATTTAACATTTTGGTGTTATCACCTAGGTTTATTTAGTTTTGGTGTTATCACCTAATAAATTATAAAATAAATGGAAGTTTTTCATCATGCTACATACCTGCTTAGCTCCAGCAAGGGCTTCTTGCCTTGCATTAGCCAATTCTTTCAAGTCATCCCATAATTGCTGCAATTCTTCAACCTGAAAATTTTATAGGGGTTTAGAAATAGAAATGTGAAAAAACAAGATTACAATAAAAGTAATGTCAATCTGTATTATTGCTCTCTAATTCTCTCTCGACTGCAAACCAAAACTATCAAGAATGCAATATCACTAAAATTATTCACCTTTTCCTTTATTCTTGCTGGCTCTGGATGCCCATCCTCCAACAGGGTTTTGGCCTTCCCTTTTATACCAATTAATTTTTCTTCATTTGAAGCCAGGGCACTAAGGAAGGACTCAAACTTCTGGATTAAGATTTCCACATGCTCCACGTCCCTGCCGTAATCTTCACTTGCTGCCACAGCCATCTGATCATTTAGCCACTCACTCACTTCATCACTTTCTCTAAGGAATGCAAACAATGTTCGACTCTCTTCTAGCCTCTTCATTCTTTTTTCCATCAAAATTTTCAGATCTGCATACTGCTTTTCCACATCATTCTGCAAATTGAAATGATATTTATATTTTGATTTAACTTTCCAAACATTACAAAGCCTGTACCATCTTATGTTTTCAAAAAGGGAATGTTTTCCACTCTATGGTTAACATCCTTAAATAATAAACACTGACTATCATTTACTGTGTACGAGTGGACTTTCACAAAACAAAATTTCCCATTAACCAGAGTGAAAAATATCCACTATTTAATACTCTCCAACCTAAATAGAAATGCATTTAATATAAATTTTGAAAATGTATAAATATATAGTATTTGGTCATTTCAACTGTGAATTCGCTCGCAAATATTAACTTCTTTTGAGTCAAAAGTAATTAATATTAATACAAAGTAATTGTTACAGAAAAAATCTTACCTATTAACATTCATTAAATGAAGTTTTTAAATGAAAATGGAGAAAGACTGATAGATTAATGTGGATTACAATGATTTGACTTACTCAAAAGAATTGCTACATGAAATAAATACTGAATGAGTTTCAGATAATTTTTTTTTTTTTTAACACATCGGTCATCTCCCACCGAGGCAGGGCGACCCAAAAAGAAAATCCCCCCCCCCCCTAAAAAAAAAATACTTTCATCATCATTCAACACTTTCACCTCACTCATACATAATCACAGTCTTTGCAGAGGTGCTTAGACATGACAGTTCACAAGTCCCTCCAAACTGCCAATATCCCAAACCCCTCCTTTAAAGTGCAGGCATTATACAGTGGTACCTTGGCATATGAACAGCTTCCAACTCGAACAATTATGCAAGTGTTTTTTTGTAAGTGCTTTTGTAAGCATATTTTTGGGGGTCTGAAATGGATTAATCTTATTTACATTATTCATTATGGGAACAAATTAGTTAGGTATCGGCACTTTAACAGCCTTCTGTAACGATTTAAGTTCGTATCCTGAGGTACCACTGTACTTCCCATTTCCAGGACTCAAGTCCAGCTAACTGGTTTTCCTGAATCTCTCCACAAAATATTACCCTGCTCACACTCCAACAGATAAATATATTGCAACTAAATGTATAACACCTAAGCTAAATCAATCAAGTCTGCTGAGAATGGTAATCAAGTATCACTTGGAACTCTGAAGTGCTACATTCACATGTGAAACCCATGGAACAGAGCAGTTTAGAAGTTTTAACAAAGCCAAAATAAATTAAGTTTTGTAATATACGAGTGAAAAAAAAATTGATCAAGATTATGCACAAGTTATCATGTGTCAATAAGTATAAAAAAAACACACACAAAACCTTAATAAAAACCAATAAAAAAAATTGCCCCAAAGCATTATATATTACAAAAACAAATCATTTAATGCCTACCATTTTCTTGGAAATATTATCACTGTCAAAGTGTCTTCTCTCTGTAAGCTTTGCACACAGTAACGAGAGCTTTTCCAGAGGTGATTTAAAACTTTCCAAGTCACGTGCAACATTATCTAACTTTTTGGTTAGTGCTCCAACAGAGGTCTCATCTTTTCCAAAGTCTTGGGACAATAGCAGCGGCCTTTTCTCTTGCATCCAGGCCTCTGCTTCACCTGCCTCAGTATAAAACTGAAACAAAAGCAAATATCACTTTCACACCTGTAAAAGGCATAATGCAGGTTCAATATCTAAATTCATATTGGAATTTGGAACTAAATTATGTAACAAAATGAAGAAAATCATACCAATTGGGACTCGACAGCATCAAGGAGCCTGAGTCTCCTCACGCTCGCGGTGTCCTTCAGCTGTGTTAACTTTGATAGCAAAAGCTTTATCTTTGTTTCTATCTCTGCTGATGCAAAGTGACCAGATCTAATCATCTGCTGTGATCGGTTATTTACACTATTGATGACTGGTTCATGTGACTGTATTTCTGCCTCTAGTGCCTGAAAGACATAAAACAGTGAAGCCTGCATTTGGGATTTAATTTAGAAGTGCTAAAACAGGATGGTTACACATTTCAAGCATTGAGTCAGCAAGGTATCCCTGGCTCCTTTCCCCTATTAAGAGTATACTGAAAAGGAAATTTAAATATTTACAGAGCACTTGGACATATTACGTTATACTACTTTTGATATTCAAGAGAAACCATGGGAAGAATTCATCCTTCATAAAATTGTCTCCCTGTCTCGTTTACTTCTTTTCTGTGATAAATTAGGCAAATTGGAGGAGTAGGGGGAGAGGGGGCCACAGGAGTGAGGAAGGGGAGGAGTAAGTGGGAATAATATCTATTTCTACAAGTACATGTACAAAGTATACAGGTCTAGCCGACATCAATGATATATTACTACACAGAAAGCAGTTTGTTATGCAGAGCATTTCAGGCAAATTATGTCAATTTTGTCCCAGGATGCGACCCACACCAGTCGACTAACACCCAGGTACCCACTTTACAGATGGGTGAACATGGACAACCAGGAGACAAAGAATGTACAAACTCCTTACCTGGATTCAAGAGCAAATAGTATGTGATAAATCTGTTTTGGATAAGCAAAGTTTAAATTAAGAGTCAAAGCCAAGAGTTACATTTTACTGCCCTTGAACTGAAGTGGGTAATTATGGCTAACCCACTGTCAAAACTGCCCACCTCATCATGGAATACTAGGCTAGTAATTCATGAAAACAGAGCAAGAATGACAGTGAACACATACAAATTGAACTTCTAATCTAATATACACTACTACACAAGTTCTAGTTGCTCGAGTTCCTATATAGGACTTGATAATCCCCAAACTCAGTTAAACACTCTTCAATACACAATCTTTCTTTGCAGCCTATTACAATAAAATTATATAATCTGGTATGTAAATATACTGATCATGATTTTATATTTATATAATCATTAGTCTCCATGGGGTAGTGAAAAAGAATCCTTTCCCCATAAGCCTTGTGTAGTGCAAAAGGAAACTAAAATGCTGGAAGCAAGATGCTAGTAACCCCTTTTCTAGAATAAATTATTTAATGCAAAAATAAGAAATGCCTCATTGGGAGATAGAAAAACTTATCTAAAGCTCCACAAATTGAGCACAGGGATACAAATTTACCTAGTGAATGATTCTCCCACACAGCAAACATTTGCAATTTTAAATAAACTTACTAAATTAGATAAATTAATAAATACAAGTGTCAGCTATAATTTTATCTTGGATGTTTATGACGAATCTCCAGCTAGCGTGGCCGTCACGGCCACGCTAGCTGGAGATTCGGCTGTAAAAACTTGCATTTGTGGTCACAGTGGTGCCTGTGCTAACCTTCCTATGGTGTAGAAATATACCTAGTTGGACGAATCTTATTGTGGCTAGCTGGTCTAGTGGCTAACGCGACGGGCTGGAGTTTTGAGACTCTCTGACCGCGGGTTCAATCCCGGCCGGGGTATGGTTTGATTTATATGCTCTCCATATAATTCTACTTTGATCCATTCTCCCTAAATGACCAAACCACCTCAACAACCCCTCTTCAGCCCTCTGACTAATACTTTTTTTTTTTTTTTTTTTTTTTTAAACTCCACACCTTCTCATAATTTCCACACTCCGAATTTTCTGCATAATATTTACACCAAACATTGCCCTTAGACAGGACATCTCCACTGCCTCCAACTGCCTCCTCGCTGCAGCATTTACAACCCAAGCTTCACACCCATATAAGAGTGTTGGTATTACTATACTTTCATACATTCCCTTCTTTGCGAAAATAGATAATGTTTTTTGTCTCCACATATACCTCAATGCACCATTCACCTTTTTTCCCTTCATCAATTCTATGATTAACCTCATCCTTCATAAATCCATCCACCGACACGTCAACTCCCAAATATCTGAAAACATTCCCTTCTTCCATACTACTACTCCCCAATTTGATATCTAATTTTTCTTTATCTAAATCATTTGATACCCTCATCACCTTACTCTTATCTATGTTCACTTTGAACTTCCTACCTTTACACACCCTCTCAAACTTGTCCACTAACCTTTGCAACTTTTCTTTAGAATCACCCATAAGCACAGTATCATCAGCAAAAAGTAACTCTGTAACTGTATTTGATTCCCCATAATTTAATCCCACCCCTCTCTCCAGCACCCTAGCATTTACTGGGAAGTAATCTCCCTCTTCTACACACCCTAACTTGAGCCTCACTATCCTCATAAAAACTCTTTACAGCATTTAGTAAATTACTACCTATTCCATATACTTGCATCATCTGCCACATTGCTCCCCTATCCACTATCATATGCCTTTTCTAAATCAATAAATGCAATGACAACTTCCCTACCTTTATCTAAGTACTGTTCACATATATGCTTAAATGTAAACACGATCTACATGTCCCCTACCCACTCTAAGGCCTCCTTGCTCATCTGCCATCCTACATTCTGTTTTACCTCTAATTCTTTCAATAATAACCCTACCATACACTTTTCCTGGTATACTCAGTAAACTTATTCCCCTATAATTTTTAGTCACTTTTGTCCCCCCTTCCCTTTATATAAAGGAACTATACATGCTTTCTGCCAATCCCTAGGTACCTTCCACTCTTCCATACATTTATTAAACAAAAATACCAACCACTCCAACACTATATATATCCCCCTGCTTTTAACATTTCTGTCATGATCCGGTCAGTTCCAGCTGCTTTACCCACTTTCATTCTACGTAATGCCTCGCGCACCTCCCCCACACTCACATCATGCTCTTGTTCACTCCTAAAATGTCATACCTCCCAAGCCAGTGCATGAAATGACTGCCTCCCTTTCTTCGTCTACATTTAAAAGTTCCTCAAAATATTCCCACCATCTACCAAATACCTCCAGCTCCCCATCTACTATCTCCCCTACTCTGTTTTTAAATGATAAATCCATTCGTTCCCTAGGCTTTCTTTTATCTCAAAATTTTTTTCTTATTTTCATTAAAATTTCTTGACAGTGCCTCTCCCACCTATCATCTGCTCTCCTTTTGCACTCTCTTCACCTTTCTTTTACTCTCCATATACTCTGCTCTTCTTATAACAATTCTGCTTTGTAAAAACAAATCTACAATTACACTGTGCATGCAATAATTTTTTGCAGCTAAAGACATTCAATCAACTGTACTTCTCACCTGGTGCTTTTTCTGCAAATTCTGCACAGCTGTAAGTGAAGAACCGAGGTCCTGACTAGATGCCAAAGGTTCCTTTTCTGTTACCCACAACAATTCATCTTCAATATCTCTCAGCAGCTGCTGCAGCAACATGGCATCCTCCAAATTTTCATGCCGTATGTGAATTGGTTCGTGTAAGGAATTGTGCCTGAATTTTAAAAATGCATGCACCTCAGTAACGCATCTGCTTTAATTTAGAACTGAGACACTTGTGTAACACATGGGAATCTTTACTTAAGAAATATTTTGCCACACAGTGGCTTCATCAGTCCAATACAAAGCAGGAAGGTATAAGGAGAGGAGGAGTTTGAAGTAATCAAGTCCCTCAGCCTGGAATTGATGTGTTCAGTCCATCACTCTTGTAAGAAGTACAGCATAGGGTCCAAAGAGGTGGCTTATATACTGCGGTCAGGCGAGTTGAAGCAGGAGGTGGCGGGATCACAGTGGGACCATCCTTTAGTGTAAGTAGATCTTCATCCAAAGGATGGACAAGTGTTGAAGAATTCTTTTTATCAAGATCCCATGATATTAGTGTCTGACACTAGTGGATGGTCCCACTGTGATCCCCCCCCCCCCCCCCCCGCCTCCTGCTTCGACTCACCTGACTACAGTATACATATAAGCCACCTCTCTAGCCTTTGCTGTACTTCCTAAAAGAGTGATGGACTGAACAAATAAATTCCAGGCAGAGGAACCGATTACCTCAAACTACTCCTGTCCTTATACCTTCCTGCTTTGTATTGGACTGATGAAGCCACTGTGTGGAGAAATGCTTCTTTAATAAAGATTCCTATATGTTGCGTGTGTCTCAATTCTTCAACTTGTTGGTTTTCAAAACCATTCATCACAACTATTACATTTGTTAACAGGTAGTAATCAAAACAAGTTACATATAATAATTATCCTGTTTCCCCACTTTCCTGAGAGATAGAAACTTGCCTACAAAGGATACAACAGTAGCAATGAAGGGTGTAGGTATATTAAAATACAAGCCATGTACTCTTATCTGCCTAAACTTGCTTAACAAAAAATGCCAATAATATGGTTGCTTTAATAATAATCAACAGCAATACGATTCAAATGACATGCCTGCATTTGAGGCACTATTCTCTGAAAATTTTCCAGCTTATATTAAAGGATAATTGTCAGTGAAATTCTTAATCACCATCACCTTGTACCCCCACTTCTGAAAAGGGAAATTAAAACTCCTTTTATAAAAATGATTTTTTTTTTTTTTTAACAAGTCGGCTGTCTCCCACCAAGGAAGAGTGACCCAAAAAAAGAAAATCCCCTAAAAGAAAATACTTTCATCATTCAACACTTTCACCTCACTCATACATAATCACTGATTTTGCAGAGGTGCTCAGAATACAACAGTTTACAAGCATATACATATAAAGATACACAATATATCCCTCCAACCTGCCAATATCCCAAACCCCTCCTTTAAAGTGCAGGCATTGTACTTCCCATTTCCAGGACTCAAATCTGGCTATATAAAAATAACTGGGGTAAAATGGGGTAAATATTTCCCAACATCTATTAATCTGTCAAATTAGCCATCTTTCTGCAGTGTGAATTAAAGCTTTATAAATTAAAGCTAACCTATCCTGAATTGCCAATGCTATAATTTAACACGTTCATCAAATATCAAAACATATTCCAGGTGGAGTGAGATAAACAAGTTAAGAAAGCCTAGAGAATGAATGGATTTGCCAGTTATCAACAGTAGAGGAATTAGCAGATGGGGAGATGGAGGTACTGGGTAGATGGCAGGAATATTTCGAGGAACTTTTAAATATTAATGAAGAAACTGAGTTGGTAATTTCATGCACTGGCCAGGGAGGTATAACATCTTTTATCAGTGAAGAGCAGGATCTGAGTGTGGGGGAGGTGCATGAGGCATTATGTAGAATGAAAGGGGGTAAACCTGCTGGAACTGATGGGATCATGACAGAAATGTTAAAAGCAGGGGGGGGATATAGTGTTGGAGTGGTTGATATTTTTGTTTAATAAATGTATGAAAATAGGTAGTAGGTTGGTAGACAGCAACCACACAGGGAGATACTACCGTCCTGCCAAGTGATTGAATAACGAAAGCCTGTAATTGTTTTACACGATGGTAGGATTGCTGGTCTTCATTTTTCTGTCTCGTGAACCTGCAAGGTTTCAGGTACGTCTTGCTACTTCTACTTACACTTAGGTCACACTACACATACATGTACAAGCATATATATATACACACACCCCTCTGGGTTTTCTTCTATTTTCTTACTAATTCTTGTTTATTTCCTCTTATCTCCATGGGGAACTGGAACAGACTTCTTTCTCCGTAAGCTATGCGTGTTGCAAGAGGCGACTAAAATGCCAGGAGCAAGGGGCTAGTAACCCCTTCTCCTGTATAAATTACTAAATTTAAAAAGAGAAACTTTCATTTTTCTTTTTGGGCCACCCTGCCTTGGTGGGATAAGGCTGGTTTGTTGAAAAAAAAAAAAAAAAGTATGGAAGAGGGGAAGGTACCTAGGGATTGCCAGAGAGAATGTATAGTTCCTTTATATAAAGGGAAGGGGGACAAGAGAGATTGTAGAAATTATAGGAGAATAAGTTTACTGAGTATACCAGGAAAAGTGTACGGTAGTGTTATTATTGAAAGAATTAGAGGTAAGACAGTAGGATTGCAGATGAGCAAGGAGGCTTTAGAGTGGGTAGAGGTATGTGTGGATTAAGTGTTTACATTGAAGTATATATGTGAACAGTATTTAGATAAAGGTAGGGAAGTTTTCTTTGTATTTATGGATTTAGAAAAGACATATGATACAGTGGATAGGGGAGCACTGTGGCAGATGTTGCAAGTATATGGAATAGGTATAGAGTTACTAAATGCTGTAGAGTTTCAATGAGGATAGTGAGGCTCAGGTTAGGACGTGTAGAAGAGAGGGAGATTTCTTACCGGTAAAAGTAGAATTAGACATGAATGTGTAATGTCACCATGGTTGTTTAATATAGATGGGGTTGTAAAAGAAGTGCTAGGGAGTTGGGGAGAGGGGTGGGATTAAATTATGGGAAATCAAATACAAAATGGGAGTCGACACTGTTACTTTTTGCTGATATGGTGCTTATGGGAGATTCTAAAGAAAAGTTGCAAAGGTCAGTGGACGAGTTTGGGAGGGTGTAAAAGGTAGAAATTTGAAAGTGAGGGTATCAAATGATTTAGATAAAGAAAAACTGGATATCACATTGGAGAGAGGGAGTATGGAAAAATGAATGTTTTCAGATATTTGGGAGTTGACGTGTCAGCGGACAAGTTTATGAAGGATAAGTTTAACCACAGAACTGATGAAAAAAAAAAAAAACGGCGAGTGGTGCATTGAGGTACGTGTGGAGACAAAAAAAACGTTATCTATGGAGGCAAAGAAGGGAATGTATATAAGCATAGTGCTACCAACACTCTTATATGTCTGTGAAGCTTAGGTTGCAAATGCTGCAGCAAGGAGGTGGTTGGAGGCAGTGGAGATGTCCTGTCTAAGGGCAATGTGTGGTGTAAATATTATGCAGAAAATTTGAAGTGTGGAAATTAGGAGGTGTGGAGTTAATAAAAATATTACTTAAAGGGCTGAAGAGGGGTTATTGAGGTGGTTTGGTCATTTAGAGAGAAGGGATCAAAGTAGAATGACTGAAAGCGTATAAATCTGTAGGGGAAGACGGGGTAGGGATCATCCTTGAAAAGGTTGAAGGGAAGAGGGTAGGTAAAGGTTGTTTTGTGGGCAAGGGGCTTGGACTTCCAGGAAGCATGCCCGAGTGTGTTAGATAGGAGTGAGCGGAGACCAATGGTTTTTGGGACCTGACGAGCTGTTGGAGTGTAAGCTGGGTAATATTTAGTGAAGTGATTCAGGGAAACCAGTTATTTTTATATAGCCAGACTTGAGTAACGGAAATGGAAAGTACAATGCCTGCACTTTGGGATATTGGCAGTTTGGAAGGATATGTTATATCTCTCTATATATGCTTCTCAACTGTTGTATCTGGGCACCTCTGCAAAAACACTGATTATGTATGAGTGAGGTGAAAGTGTTGAATAATGATGAAAGTATTTTCTTTCTTTTTAGGTCATCCTGCCTCAGCGGGAGATGGCCAATTTGTTGGAGGGGGTTAAAAAAAAAAAAAAAATATCCAAGTCTTTGTTCAATACCTAAAAGTAACACTGAAATGTGCATCATTACCTTTTAGTAATCGTTTCTACTCTTAACGTAATTTCCTCGCTCATAAAATGATTAGCCAAAACAAAGGACTGGGCCACTTCTCTGGCTTGATCCACTTCACTCTGATGAGCTGCAACATCTGCCTCAAGCTGCTGATGCTTCTTCATAAGGCTCTGCACAGAAGTTAGATCACGGCCATGATCCTCAGACTGCAGTTGGGTCTCAACGTCATCCATCCAAGATTCAAGGTCGTCCAATGTTCGATTGAAGAGTAATGCCTGAAATTGATTAAAGGATACCCCAATTATTAGACATCTCCTTAGTCTTTAGCATAAGTAACTTATAAAGATTATAAATACTTCTTAATCAACAAGGATTAGATAGTGGAATTTATATACAGCATAAATTTTTTTTTGCATCTCACCTGATATGCCTCATTTAATCTGTCCTTCTTTAACTGAGATGAATCTTGTAACTGCTTCCATAAAGCTTCCAGACCATCCAAGCGAGCCTGAATCTCTTGCTCAGCATAATGACCACTTGTTATGAGTCCTTCACCTGTAGGAAATTAAATAATTAACGTTTACAATCACAAAAAAATCCAAGTACCTTACTAAATGTTCAGGAACTAGAAATTGACTGCACATGTTCAGTCCACACATTACGTTATCATAATATAAAATTCTTGTTTCTTTCAATAAACCGGCCGTATCCCACCGAGGCAAGGTGGCCCAAATGAAAAACAGAAGTTTTTTTAAAAATTTAGTAATGTATACAGGAGAAGGGGTTACTAGCTCCTTGCTCCCGGCATTTTAGTCACCATAATATAAAATTAATTCTGGCAAAATATTTGGGAAGAGAATAGCCAAAACCTTTAGGAAATCCTATATGGGTAAATTTAACTGACTTTCAAATGAATTACTTTTGGTCTTAACAAAAATTTCAAGCCCATTCAGCTTGGTTGATACTGTACTGTACTATACACACTGCCACTCACTGCACTTTGGTTCAAACGTAGTAATATTTATGCCAAAAAGTTTTTACTATAAAAATAACTGGAAAATATAGGATGAGTTATGCATTAACGTGGTTGATTGGGGATAGGCTAGGGCTGATTAATACATATCAATGACAAATACTGTAGTGTCTTGGATAATCATTACCTGTAACTTATAGCTTTTATGATAGTTGTCAGAACTATCCTTTTTTCATTAGTGTCGAGAGTAAAGACTAGCTCCAGGATGCATACAAAGAAAAAGAAAACCACTGCCAGCTACTTTTTCTACAAATGCATACCAAATGAGGTTACAAGGGTAGACATGACAGTTTTGTGCAGGTACTGTGTAGGAAAAAACTGAATGTTTTGTGGTATGGAAGAAGCAAGTTTATGATGCTTCTTTACAAACAGTTTGATGCTTAATACAAAACTACAAAATATTTAGTACTTCAGAGTCAAAAATTCCTGTACACTATAATATTAACGTAACATGTGTGTTGAAATTTAAATCAAAATAAATAATTTTCGATGTGCTTCAATCTAAAAAAAAAAAAAAAAAAAAAAAAAAAAAATTAGCTGGATTTGGGTACACACTTTGTTGTTATATTATAACATTTTTATTTTCACTCTTCTCCTCCCTTTGCAGTCAGTTCAGAATATATAGTAGGGCAACTTCTCTTACAGAGGGGGACATGGGAAACTCATTTCCATGAATAAACAGCACGTTAAAAAAAATGAACATAATGAGCCTGTTTCAGGAAGTAATTTTACTTAACCCTTTCAGAGTCGACAGGCCCTCTCAGAGACTTGTTCTCAGGGTCGGCCAAATTTAAAAAAAAAAAAAAATTTTTCTTATGAAAAGATAGAGAATCTTTTCCCGATCATAATGACACCTAAAGTATGAAATTTGATGGAAAACTTACAGAATTATGCTCTCGCGAAGTTAGCGGTCTCAACGATGTTTACGCATCGGTGATTTTGCCCACTTTGAGCCCTATTTTTGGCCAATTACAGTGTACATGTCGACAAAAATCATAAACTATTTCAACTATTTCGCTAGAACTCCATTTTTTCTATCGGATGAGTACAAGAAACCATCCATTTACCAATTTCAACTATCCAATACAGTGGGCAGAATTTAGCAATTTTGCCAATTTCACACAAATTTCAAAAGATGCCAATTTCCGAATAGGGTCCAGAATAAACAAGGAAAACATTCCTGGCACTAAAAACAACATTTCCTCTGTTCATTAGTCACTTCCCCAGGACCCTCTTACATTCTTTTGCTTTCCACTTTGAATTTTTATTCTCGCAAAAAAAAATAGAAGATTTACTGTTATGCATTGGTGTAGAAACGGTATAAATATTATCAGCGCACTTGTGAAAGAATATCAGACTCGCCAGTTGACGTGTACTGGACGCATAGCATGATTTGTTTACTTTTGAACTTTGGTAAAAATCGAACATTTCTGCTACTTTGAGCGCAATTTCAAGATAGTTTTCTTTGTAAAACCAGTCAAAATCATCTCAATTTTTGTAATATGTCTTCGATTCTATAAAATGAGACCAGGAAAATTAGAATACAACAATAAATACCATACAAAAATACAGTGCAAAGTCGCTGTTTTAATCCAAAAACACGGTCAAAGTTTTTTTTTCTCATTACGCACTGTGTGCTGCAGGATTTTTTTTATATCGCACACACTGACCACAGACCCATTCTTTCAAATGTAGGCCTACCAGCTTTCTCTCACTAGATTTGAGGGAGCTAGAATTTAGGCGTACTAGTACGCCAAAAACCCTGGTGCGTAAGCCGTACTAGTACAGCCGAAACCCTGAAAGAGTTAAATGTTGTAATACACTGCCTTTCCTCTAGATTTAGAATGACTAAATCTAGAGGAATGAGCACAAAAGGACAGTTAAATGTGGGGTTAGGTTATATGTAAAAATGGATTTAATAACATGTTCGATTGAACTTCTGCCAATGTTCCTAATAATGCATTCCCAATATTAAGTCATAATCAAGTGTACTATACAATCATGATAAATTACACCTGTATAACACTAGGCCATGATAGTGCAGTATTATGTAAAATAACAGACTTGTTTACATCTCTAGAATCAACCATACACCAATAGCTTTACAGAACTGTCAAGGAATAATCACCTTCATGGGTACAAGCTGCAACTCTCCCAGAGTTGGCTAGCACCTCTGCTTCAAAAGCTCCATGTTTCTGAATCTTGGACTGAAGATTAGTTGGATCTCTGTAGCTTTCATCACAAGCGAACTTGCAACTTCTCAGATATCCATCCTTCAACCTCATAAATATTTCTTAGGAACTGCTGTAAGGACTTTGACTCTACCAATTTCTTTGCCCGTAACTTAGACTTGTTCTTCAGACCATCTCTCTTGTCTGTCACCACTCTGAGGCGATGACGAATCCCTTCACTATCATAATGACCATTTTCAATAAGATCTTTGGCATAGGTCTCCAACTGTTCTATCTTGTTTCCCTGAGCTTCAAATGTTTTCTCAAAACTCTCATGTTTTTTTATTAAAACTTCTACAGATGCCATTGAATCCTATGTGGAGAAAATACATTTAAATTTAGGGCAGAGTTGTGAGGTAAAGAAAAAAGGAGAAAGGGCAAAATTAAGAAGGGAAACAAACAAAATTATAGACCGTCATAAGTTATGAACTACAAAATGAATGTTCATTAATTTCAAGCAAATCACTTTTTTGTGAACAGAACTTTAGCACATCAAGCTAACATGATTAACAGGGTACTGATTGTAAACCACTGTGCCTATATGATGAGCTTTTTGGAGGTGAATAATGTAGTGTTTCTAAATAATTTTAAAAGTGATTTGTTAAAAATTAGCATTATGTTTCAATGCAAAAAAAAAAAAAAAAAATTAGTGTATGACAAACTACAATAGATTATAAATCCCAATCACAAATAATTAGGAAGGCATCATAATTCTAAATTTGTTCCTTATGAAATTAAGTACAAATACAGGTGTCCCTCTTGTTATGCAGTAGATGTGTTCCAGGTCCTTGGCAACTATGCTCAGTTCAATCGGGCCATAAACAGTTATGCAAAGGATTGTTTAATGCACTCTGCAAACCGTGCTGATTGCATGCGACTACTGTATACCACATTCAAAATTACAAATAGAAACAGGCTATCTCTTAAAATGAATCTTAATAAAGCAAAAGATATTTGTGCTTCAGACTGAGAACAAAAAATAAAACATGGACAGCAAAGGTTTCTGTGGATAGACATGCAAACACTTAGGCCCTTGAGGGAATATCTTGGACCTTGAACCTTATTTACTTTCATTATATATACAGTAGAAACAAATATATACTGTAAGCCAGGAGACCTGCGAGGCTTTGGTGATTAGCTGGAGTGAGGTAGTAGAGGAAGTCACTTGACAGCTTTGTCTCAAGGTGAGCAGGGCAAAGCATGGTTTCAACAACCATAAGATACCTCAATGGTCAACTACAAGACCTACTGCTAGTGTCTATATGATCTCATACAGAGACTGATACATGTACAAGTTTATAAGAGATAATGAACATAAATATACTTTCAGTAAAGTCAACTAGAGTAACATGTGCATGATTCACAGACATGTTGAAGGGCATTTGAAAAGCTAGAACAAAGCCAAGCTCATCAATGAACCAGACAAATAGATGGCAATTACAGACATGGTTACTAAAAAGATGGAATTATAACATTTCCTTACTGGCCCACATAATTCTGGATCGTACCTCACTGTCTGCTTCCAGACAGTTATCAGGTGACCACAACCTCTCTGCACCACCTAACTTTACTACATCTCCTTAACTCGTGTCTCCTTGCTTACATATGGTGTACTAATGTACCCCATGTACAGCTTAAACATTTTCATTTCGTAATAATTTATTCAAGTCTGAATAAACTAGCATTTGATATAAATGTGAAGAAGGTTCCCATACCAAAAGATTTTCCCCTAAAATGTCCTAAAATGTTTGCCTGTGTGAATCTTCAACTTGTTGGTATGTACAATATCTTGTTTCAAAGATTTTTTCACTTTTTTATGGCAAATATTACAGAATTATAAATGTACAAAATTTATAAAATATCTTTAAACAAATTGTAAATTATTTTGAAAGCAGTATAACATTTGATTTTCAAGCCATCTAAAAATCAATATAAAAATGCAATATAGAGAAGCCAATTAATAATAAATAGATCTCCAATACTTACTTCGTATATTTTGTCTATGTTCTGTGGCATGTTGGTGAAGCAAAATTAAAATTATGGGTTTATAAATGTTATTGATAAACTGGAATGGCCCATTAAATAAGAAGCAATCAGTAACTTTTCAGGTACTGTAATCAAAAATTATTTATCATGAGCAAACTATTTTGGCATTTAAAAAAAAAATGAAAAAGTAATTTAACAACCAAGAGAGTCAGTTTTATACAAATTTTCAAAAAGCTGAGGAAAAAATTAAATGACTGACTAGGCCACAACCGGCCAAAAGCTTCCAATGCAGATTTTACTGATACACAGTTGAATGAAGGCCTTAACTGTGACACTATCACTTTTTGCAGACACACCAGCATTCATTCAATGAAGTACAAAATTCACTTTTCTCACTCCTGCTACTGAAATTAATTAAGGTAAGCAGTGACAGTGACAATTTAAAGAGCATAGGCTTTGATCTCATGATCCTGAATTCACATGGCCATCACCTTACTAAGTAGGCTGGCTACTGGATGGTCAAGTGAATTTGCAATGGATTAAATCATTTGAACTCTTTACGGTTATTTTGTTACTTTTACTTATTGTAAAAACCATTTCACCAACAGGAGGAAAGAATTTTTTTTTTTTTTTTGTTAAGTAAGTAAATTCTGAGTGTTGATAGCTTCTCTTTAAAAAACACTGTGATAAGACCACAGTTGGAGCCATCACTGAAGTCTTGTTTGCCAGTGATCCAGGCTGGAAAGTTGTCATTCATTTCTTAGTTGGAAAGATAATAATTGTGTAAATTTGAGATTGAATCTCACATTGTTTACAAATGTTCTACTTTGACATATTTAACAATTAAACTGCTTTAATTAACAGAAGATAAAAGAAAACCAGTGTAATCTAGTGAAGCAAGGCAGTTTTTTTTGGAGTGATAAAAAACTGAAGTTGAAAAATTATGGAAAATATTTTCTTACCGAAAAATAGTGCATAATTCTGGCAACATGTTGATGCAATCGGCTTATTTCTATCACATTTCTAAGTATGTTTTTCCTTAAATGTAATTTTTTTGTTTTTTGCTGTCAAGAGGACATGTTGGTAATTAATTTTTTTTTTACTCCAAAAATTATGATTATGACTTTCATTCTAAATACTCAACATGGCAACTTCTGTGAGGACTAAAGTGAAGAGCACGGAGTGTTTTGGCTCAGTAGCCTCAGAGCTGTCAACAAGGATAGGGATATGCAACATGCTCAAATTTGGCACGCCGTGACCATACAGTTTTATAGACAACAAAAATATGAATAGCTAAGGAATAAGTTAGAGATTTGTTTTCAGTTTTTGTGAAGAGTATTAATAGAAGTGTCATCAATTTATAAACATTGAGGAATGATGATTCTATTCAATTTCAATTTTGATTTGCAATATGTTTTACCATTTTTTTTATTGAATTTTATTCTCCCAAAAAACTACTTTAAAAAAATAATATTCAGCATTTTTTATAATGCAATCTATTGAAATTTCACGCAAGAGACTTTGAAATTAAGATTATCTAGCTCTTTATCTTTCATCTGATGTTGACTAGAACATTGTACAACTTACCAATTTTGTAGAGGGAGGGTTTTTATGCCATATACAATTTTGCAATATCTTCAAATTTTGCAACATGAAGTCAATACAAACAGTGTATAGGTCTCAAATCCTGGTTAAGTCACAGGTATAAACTTCCATTGAAATTGGACCAAAAACAAATTTTGTTTTAAAAACTGCCTCACTACCTTAACATATGCCACTCTTGAAGCTTGACTGTGCATCAGTAAAGGATTTAAAACTTGTTGAACTATTATGACAATTTATCAAATATAAACTGCAGAGCAGTTGCACTGTTTCCACTGCTGAGGAGAAAAAAAAAAAAAAGGTATTTTTTTTTTTAACTGAGCACTGACCAACTGATGGATTCTTAATGCAGCAGCCTAAGGATTATGCGTCTTACTTCTTTATTTGTATGATAAACACATTAGGCAACATGCACTTATAAAAGCCAGATGGCAAGAGAATTTACCAATTAATGCTAGAGAAGAACTAGTTATACAACTAGAGTATGGTAAGTTTGAATATAACAATTAGCTATGAAGTAGTAATAGTCTTAGTAATGGTACATTACTAGTACTAGTAAAAAAGCAGGCAATTCTTTATCCTTTTTTCATGGCAGGTCTATGACTAACATTAGTAAAATTTACTTAGCAAATCCATGACCTACTATAATCATGCCTATTAATTAATTACTGACTTACCCCAAGATCATCATTATTGAGGAAGGCTTCCTTACTAGCAAGCCAAGAATTTGCTTGTTCAGTCATTTCCAAGAAGACTTGAAGCTGGTGAGCCTGAGATAAAACTCTTTGTCGCTCAGCCCAAAAGACAATAACCTGGCAGAAGAAAAAACAAGATGTAATATTTTTATTTCATTTTAACTTTAGCATTTTTTGCACCTAGGTTGGGTGACCAAAAGAGGACAATGTTCACTAATTACTTACACTCAAGCTGTATTTTCAGCTAATGTGTAATGCATGTCATGGGTGGTAACTAAAATGATGGGAGTAAGGGAGCTAGAACCTCTTCTGTATAAATTACTAAATGTAAAGAGTGTTTCTTCTTTTTTGGGTCACCCTGCCTCAGTGGAAGACAGTTGTGTTGAAAAAAAATTATATATATCCTGATAGAGACCAATATGATGTAACTCATAATTAAAATTACTAAAAAGTCACATCTGTGCAACTGTGGTTACAGTAAGTTGTCCAATAATTTATATCAAAGGGGCAGCTCAATAGAGGCATACAACTCATTCAAAAGCAATCCTATCATGAATATTTTAACACCAAAATTCAAACTCTCAAAACTGCAATATTCCTGACAAGCCTTCAGAGTGTAGGAACTGTACTCTCTATCCCCAGAACTCAAGTCCAGCAATAGACTACAAGGGAGGGGGGGTAGTCGTACACATGGATCATGGCAAAATTTAGTTGGATTACAATTTTAAAATGGTTGAATGAACAAGAACAATCTTACCTTGTTCTCTACCTCTGATAAGGTCTCAAGGTCTCGCTGAATACTTTCCTTTGCAAAATGGTTATCATCAACAAGCTTCTTTCCATAATGCTGTAGGGCCTTAAAAACTTCTTTTCTACCATCAATTTCAGCCTAAAATGTAAAGGAGAAACAAAGAGGTTCATTATATGCAAAACAAACTCATTGCAAGTGTTTGAGTAGACCTATAACCTCATCCTACTATTGCACATGCCAAGGGCAGACTGACAAATGGACACAGGAAGTTACAGGCTGAATGCTACATGACCACATACATGTAAATCATACTATTAGTTTATAAAATCTAGAACAATACTTACCTTTCTTTCCTGATGACTCTGGAGTAACATCTCTGCTTCTGCAGTATTGCTTGGTAATGCTGATGCATTCATACGACTCACAATATCTTCTCCCCATCTCTCTAGTTCTCTTAAGTCTGTGTGGAATTTGTGTAAGGTGTATGACAGGGTGAGTTTCTCCTTTCTTCCATGTGACCCTTCACAAAGCCTGGACCAAGCTTCCAATACCTCAGCTTGTTTCTTGTGAATTACATCTTTCTTGTCTGGATATTTCTTTGAAAGACTGTAAGCATCCTTTTCATGCTCTTTTATCTTCTTTTCAATTGCTGACATGTCACGGATTATAGTTTCTTGCTTTCGTTGCAATGTCTCCACCTGGGCAAGATCCTTACCCGTGTCTTCATTTGCCAAGATTACAGCCTTTTCACTAATGCGATCTTTAGTGTCATCCACATCTCTGTTAAAAGCATGGATTTCCAAAGCTCCTGCTAAGTCAGATCTGTATCTATCAATAGCTCCCTTAAGTGCATGCCACCTGAAAAGTAAAATATATTTATATACAAAGCATTGTCATTTATTTGAAAATTGACTATTTTAACACATCAGCTGTTTCCCACCGAGGCAGGGTGACCCAAAAAGAAAAAAACCCAAAAAATACTTTCATCATTCAACACTTTCACCATCACTCATACATAATCACTGTCATTGCAGAAGCACTCAGATATGACAGTTCAGAAGTCCCTCCAAACTGCCAATATCCCAAACCCCTCCTTTCAAGTACAGGCATTGTACTTCCCATTTCCAGGGCCATTATACTACATTAATATTCATAAATTTTGGGGCTAACCCTTATATTTCTCTTACTTAGATTTCATAACTGTTGAAATGAACATTATGAAAACAATAAAAAAAAAAAAAAAAACATACTTTGGATGTGATCCAAGAGGCCCCAGCAAATACCAGACACCAGTTTATATAAAAGTCTTTGTATTTTTCAGTTTGTGGGTTCTCTAGGTTAGAGTTACACAGTTGGCAGTGGTTTATTACAATTTAATCTGTCTTCACAGGAACTGCATATTCAAGACTGGGCTCCCATATAATTATTTAGTCGAGTTAGAGGAGAGCAAAGGCAGTAGGGTATTTTCAGCAGACATTAGATCAATATCTTGGTCCTGCCTGATAACTTTCATCTGACTTGACAATTAAACAATTTAACCCTTTCCATGAGCATTCCCACTTGCATTTTCCACCCCTCCCTTTCCCTCAGTCCCCTTTATCTTTGCTTTGATTTAATTCCTGTAACCATTTATTTGACCATTTCTGAAGTTTATCTAGGTCCTCCTGCAGCCTTCTTTAATTCTTTTCAGATTTTGTTCTCATAATTTTGCACCAAGTATTATGTGAAGACAAAGAACATTATCCATGGAACCAAAGTGGGGAATATATGAGAGTATAGTGGTACCAATGCCCTTATATGGGTATGAAGAATTGGTCATGAATGTTGAAAGAAGGCTGAAGGCAGTGGAGATGTCATCTCTGATGGCTATATGTGGTGTGAATGATTTGCCAAGAATCCATAGCTTGGAGATTAGAAGGTGCCAAGTTTCTAAAAGTATTATCCAGAGGTCTGAGGAGGGGTTGTTGAGGTGGTTCAGATTTAGAGAACATGGAGCAAAACAGAATGACTTGGAAGGCATATAAATCTGTAATAGGAAGAAGGCAGGGTAGGGGGTATAAAGGAGGTTTTTGTGTGCGAGGGGCTTAGACTTCTAGCAAGCATGCGTGAATATGTTAGACAGAAGCGAGGGTAGACATATGGCTTTTATGACTTTACGTGCTGTTGGTGTGAGAGCAAGGTAATATCTATGAAGGGATTCAGGGAAAACCGGTTAGCCTGACTTGAGTCCTTAAAGTGGGAAATACAGTGTCTGCATTCTGAAGGAGAGATGGAGATGTGTTGCAGTTTTTGTACTATAGTGTAGGCATGCCTCTCGCAAGACAATGATGGAGTGAGCAATTTAAGTATTTCTTCTTTTTCAGATCACACTGCCTCGGTGGGAAACGGTCGATGCATTGATAAAAAATTATTCATAAACAAGGACTTTTTTTTTTTTTTTTTTTTTTTTTCTCCCACCAAGGTAGGGCAACCCAAAAAAGAAGTTTTTGCCATCACTTGCCATCTTGCCTGAGGTGCACCGATAATACAGTTCAGTAGCCCCTCCAAACTGCATATCCCACCCCTCCAGAGTGCATGAACTGTACCTCCCACCTCCAGGACTAAGTTCAGCTAACCAGCTTCCCCAAATCCTTTCACAAATGTTACCTAGCTCACACATGCCTGATCTCTTAAAACTACACAAGGTTTGTAATCAGCCATCAAAGCATCCATATGCAATGTTGTTTAACCAACAATGAGTATCTATTTGAATACATAAGATTATTTTTATCCTCACTTGTGATTTAGCTCATTCTTCCTTAGTTGCACAGCTTTATCACCACACCCTTGCCTGATGATCTTATCTGCCAGTCTGTTGATTTTTGTGAAACGTGCATCATCCACACGCATATCAGAATCTACATCATCTAGCTTACGGTGAAGAGCCATACAGTGCTCATAGTCCTTCCCGAGATCTCCTACTTGTACCATCATTTCCTGTACAAATTTTAAAAACTTCATTAAAACATACAAGCCTTCTATAACAAATGTGCGAAGCTAAATATTCCAAGGATATTCTAAACATGCAAGAATAAACAATATGAGTAGTAACCCTATAAAATTTCTTAAGCAACAGGTAGAGATTAGAAATACTTGCTGTATAGCAAAAAAAAAAAAAATTTTCAGCTTCAATCAACAACTATTCCTTTCAACTTAGCAAAGCCCCCAGTGGGGAGAATACCTATGTAAAAGGCTCTCTGCTATACAGTAAGCTTTTTCTAGCACAGGAGACCCTCATATTACACAGACTTATTTGGCACGTTTTAGTTATTACACTACTGAAAAATTGTGGCCTAATTTTATACAATGCTTCATAAAATCAACTTAACACTGCTCAGTTTGCGAGGGGGGAAAAAATATGAAGTGTCGCCAGTGGGATATTTCCCTAGCTCAGGCTGCTACCTGGCCATGGGTTAGACCACTGTCTCTGCAGGGCTTCACCAAGCTTCAAGGATCACTTCACCTTGCTCTTTTGAGGTAATGCCAAGGTGATTTCAAGTGTAAGCCTGACTTGTCTCCTCTCTTACGTCTCTACTTGAACTGCTTTGCCGAGTGCCTCGGATGGTTAGCGGCATTCAAAACATACTAGGTCAGCAGTAATGGTCAGTGAATAACAGTTAGTGATTCACGCAGCAGTGAATCGGTAATGGTCGTGTGAGTCATTACTACTGACACTACTGGTAACTGATACTACTGAGACATCAACATTAGCACCAGAACCTCAACCATTCACTTCTGCTGACAACCAACAACCATCCACCTCTGCTGACAACCAACAACCATCCACTTCTGCCGACAACCATCCACCTCGGCCCAGTAGGACCACACCATACATCTCCACTCTTCACAATCACTGACATGCACCAGTAACCACAATTTAAGGTAAATAATATTTCTGTTGCATTTGTAGTCTTAAGCAACAAAAACATTATCATTTTTATTTTTGCAAGATCTGGATGTCTAAAAAACAGTGGTTTGGCTTTTGGGGAGGTCCCAGGAAGAACCCTATTTTTCCCATAAGGACTTCAGTTTATATAACACGGTTTTATGTAACAACATTTTCTGGAACATAACTACCGTGTAATACGACTGTCTACTTTATAAACAAGCATCTTTCTAGTACAATTTACCAGTTTACAAACATGTACCATATATCATTCCTGAGAGGGTGAATAATTCATCAAGCTGCCATTTCACAGAAATAAAGAAGCATAAAATTGGCAGCCATATAAAAAACTGATGCAAATACAACTGCTTTATATTTAAAGAAAACTATCAAAATAGCATTATATTCTTGGAAAGAGTTGAACTGTTGTAGGTCATACTCAGGGGCAGTGTCAAAATTTCTGTACAGTGAAAGCTTTGGGGGTGGCTATTTGGTTTGATGAAGGGAACAAGCAGTAAAAAAAAAAAAAAAGGGGGGGGGGGGGTGCCTTCACTAGATTGACAAGTTTACTCTCGTATCTTTAACAATATACTGTAACTATTTGAGAATAAAAAATTTTCTTTTTAATTCTTAGAACATATAATTGAGCTCATAACTTTACTTAAAAATCTAATTTCAAGGCATTACCTAGCCTCTCCAATTCAAAGAACGAGGGACAAGAAAAAAAAAAAAAGTTGCTAAAGATGGGTAATGGGCTTATTTTCATAAGTCATAAACTGACTATTTAAGTAACTAATTTTTTTTTAAATCAATCTGGAAACTTTTTTTTTTTTTAAATATTAATATGAAGTCATTACATGTCATATTAGAATAATGATCCCTAATGAGTGGTACTGTTACTAATTTACCTTGTCTCTAATCCATGCATCTACTTTTTCTACTTGTGTATTGAACTCTAGGATATCCTGAGCTTCCTCTAGACCACGAGAGTGATTCTCCGCATCCAACACAAGCTGCGTCCACCGCTCAACCAACTGATCAACTTCATCTTTCACCTGTGCTGATGACTTGTGCTTTTGATTTACCAACAAAGAACCTGTTAACAAAATACAACTTGACATTTTTTTCATGGACAACATTATAACTGATGCCTAAAGACTAACAAAGAAACAATACCATGTGAAGAAGAAGAAGAAGAAGAACAAGAAGAAAGAAGAAAAGAAGAAAAGAAGAAGAAAAGAAGATGAAGATGAAGAAGAAGAAAAGAAGAAAAGAAGAAGAAGAAGAAGAAGAAGAAGAAAAGAAGAAAGAAAAAAGAAGAAGAAAAGAAAAGAAGAAAAGAAGAAAAGAAGAAAAGAAGAAAAGAAGAAGAAGAAGAACAAGAAGAAAGTCTTCTGCTGCAGGATTTCACTTTGTACACTAGTGTTAATTTATTAGGTGTTCTTTTTCCTCTACATTTTTATTGCATATATACAAAACCAATTCACGTTATCTTGGTTTGTCTGTCATCTTAGCTCTTATACTGTCCAAACGTAGATCTACGTTCACTCGCGTAGAGCACCGATTTAAAAAAAAAATAAAAGGACACAAGTGCAACTAATATGACATTTTATTGTGGCAATGTTTCGCTCTCCAGGAGCTTTGTCAAGCCGATACAAACAGTACATGGACACAGAGGGTATATATAAAGGTTCAGAGTGAGGTGCAATACTAGTGAGGTACCATATCGATGTTCACAGGTGGTAGTAGTAGTAGTGACAAAAGTTGTAGTAGTAGTAGTAGTTAGTAGCAGCAGCAAGACAATATGGTAGAGCAATTAATTCGCACATGAGTGAAAGGATATAAAAGCTATTACTCGGGTAACATAAAAATAGGTTGGACAAACAGACTGGAAAGAGAAGGCCTGTTTCAGTGTTCACCCTCTGTAAAGTGCCCTATGTAGTATAACAGGAGAGAGTATGTGATGGCGGGGTTTACTGTTTTCAGGAAGATTCTTGCTAAGACTTCAGAGATGGTGAAGCTGCCATTGTTTTGTTTAATAGTATTCGAAACAGCTATCAGTGCTGATTCGAGGCACCTGCGTTTGCGGAAATTAGTTTCTTTGATCACTAATTGGGCGTCCCTGAATTTTACGAGATGGTTGGTGGAATTTCGGTGTTGTACACAGGCGTTGTTCAGGTTATCGTTCCTACATGCGTAAATGTGTTCATTGAGGCGGGTGTCGAGGTTTCTTGCTGTTTCACCTACATAAATCTTGTCACAGCCTCCACAGGGTATAGTGTAAACCCCTGCATTGACTGGTTCATGGTGCTTTGATTTTGTCCTGGTTAGATCCTTTATTGAAGTGCTAGAAGCGATGGCAACTCTGGTGTTAGCTTGTGAAAGTACTTTGGAAATGTTCAGTGCAACCTGGCTGTTGGGAAGAATTATAACTTTGTTGGGAGTGGTGTTGGTGCATGGAGAATTAATGATCTGAAGAGCTCTTTTCTTGCAGTCTTTGATGAAAAAGGAAGGAAAATGTAACTCAGTGAAGGTTTGGTGAATGTATGTACATTCCTCGTCAAGAAACTCAGGACTACAAATTCGGTATGCTCTTAGGAAAAACCCAATGATGATGATGCCTGTTTTGGTCTTGGTATCTTGACTGGAATAGAAGTGCAAGATCATTTTTATTGGTAGGTTTCCAATAAACTCGATATCTTAGGTTGTTTACCCAAGACCCATAAACACAATATTCCTCTCAGACCCATCACGTCAGGTATAGGCAGTGCTCCACACAAACTAGCCGAGTTCTTGCCAAACATCTTTCCTGCCTTCTGGGGACCATCAGCCCCGCTCATCTTAAACACTCAAGCGACCTTCTCAACCGCATCCGCAACCTCTCCATCCGTAACAAGAAACCAAGCAGTTTGGACGTGACTTCCCTCTTCACAAATTTTTTTTTTTTTTTCTCAAGTCGGCCGTCTCCCACCGAGGCAGGGTGACCCAAAAAAGAAAGAAAATCCCCAAAACGAAAATACTTTCATCATCATTCAACACTTTCACCACACTCGCACATTATCACTGCTTTTGCAGAGGTGCTCAGAATACAACAGTTTAGAAGCATATACGTATAAAGATACACAACATATCCCTCCAAACTGCCAATATCCCAAACCCCTCCTTTAAAGTGCAGGCATTGTACTTCCCATTTCCAGGACTCAAGTCCGACTATATGAAAATAACCGGTTTCCCTGAATCCTTCACTAAATATTACCCTGCTCACACTCCAACAGATCGTCAGGTCCCAAGTATCATTCGCCTCCATTCACTCCTATCTAACACGCTCATGCACGCTTGCTGGAAATCCAAGCCCTAGCCCACAAAACCTCCTTTACCCCCTCTTTCCAACCCTTTCGAGGACCCCTACCCCTCCTTCCTTCCCCTATAAAATTTATATGCTTTCCATGTCATTCTACTTTGATCCATTCTCTCTAAATGACCAAACCACCTCAACAACCCCTCTTCTGCCCTCTGACTAATGCTTTTATTAACTCCACACCTTCTCCTAATTTCCACACTCCGAATTTTCTGCATAATATTTACACCACACATTGCCCTTAGACAGGACATCTCCACTGCCTCCAACCATCTCCTCGCTGTGCATTTACCACCCAAGCTTCACATCCATATAAGTGTGTTGGTACTACTATACTTTCATACATTCCCTTCTTTGCCTCCATAGATAACGTTTTTTGACTCCACATATACCTCAACGCACCACTCACCTTTTTTCCCCTCATCAATTCTATGATTAACCTCATCCTTCATAAATCCATCCGCCGACACGTCAACTCCCAAGTATCTGAAAACATTCACTTCTTCCATACTCCTCCTCCCCAATTTGATATCCAATTTTTCTTTATCTAAATCATTTGATTCCCTCATCACCTTGCTCTTTTCTATGTTCACTTTCAACTTTCTACCTTTACACACATTCTCAAACTCATCCACTAACCTTTGCAATTTTTCTTTAGAATCTCCCATAAGCACAGTATCAGCAAAAAGTAACTGTCAATTCCCATTTTGAATTTGATTTCCCATAATTTAATCCCACCCCTCTCCCAAACACCCTAGCATTTACTTCTTTTACAACCCCATCTATAAATATATTAAACAACCATGGTGACATTACACATCCCTGTCTAAGACCTACTTTTACCGGGAAGTATTCTCCCTCTTCTACACACCCTAACCTGAGCCTCACTATCCTCAAAAAGCTCTTTACAGCATTTAGTAACTTATCACCTATTCCATATACTTGCAACATCTGCCACATTGCTCCTCTATCCACTATCATATGCCTTTTCTAAATCCATAAATGCAATAAAAACTTCCCTACCTTTATCTAAATACTGTTCACATATATGCTTCAATGCAAACACTTGATCTACACATCCCCTACCCACTCTGAAGCCTCCCTGCTCATCCGCAATCCTACATTCTGTCTTACCTCTAATTCTTTCAATTATAACCCTACCGTATACTTTTCCTGGTATACTCAGTAAACTTATTCCTCTATAATTTTTACAATCTCTTTTGTCCCCTTTCCCTTTATATAAAGGGACTATACATGCTCTCTGCCAATCCCTAGGTACCTTCCCCTCTTTCATACATTTATTAAACAAAAGTACCAACCACTCCAACACTATCCCCCCCTGCTTTTAACATTTCTGTCATGATCCCATCAGTTCCAGCTGCTTTACCCCCTTTCATTCTACGTAATGCCTTACGTACCTCCACCACACTTACATTCTGCTCTTCTTCACTCCTAAAAGATGGTATACCTCCCAGGCCAGTGCATGAAATTACTGCCTCCCTTTCTTCCTCAACATTTAAAAGTTCCTCAAAATATTCTCTCCATCTACCTAATACCTCCCTCTCCCCATCTACTAACTCCCCTACTCTGTTTTTAACTGACAAATCCATACTTTCCCTAGGCTTTCTTCACAAAAGTACCTACCACAAAAGGCATCGAGGTTCTACGACGTAAAGTCTATCAGGACCTTAATCTTCCTCTACCTCCCGGAGATTTTGTTGACTTGATTGAACTCTGTTAATTTCAACTGTTTTTCTTTCAATAACAAGCTCTACAAACAAACCTACGGCATGGAAATGGGGTCCCCCATCAGTGCCGTCCTAGCCAACTTGTACATGGAACACCTAGAGTCTGAACACTTCACAAACATCATCCCTTCAAGCGTCACTTGGTTACGTTACGTGGACGACATCCTCGTAATAACTCCCAAACGTTTTGATGTATGGAATCTTCAAGCAAGGCTCAACGCAGTTGAACCAGCGATCCAGTTTACACTAGAAGAGTCCAATGACAAGCTACCTTTCCTCGACGTCCTCATTCACAAAGTAGACAACAACCTAAGATTTCAAGTTTATCGGAAACCTACCAATAAAAATGATCTCACACACTTCTATTCCAATCAAGATACCAAGACCAAAAGAGGCATCATCACTGGGTTTTTCCTAAGAGCATACCGAATTTGTAGTCCTGAGTTTCTTGACGAGGAATGTACATACATTCACCAAACCTTCACTGAGTTACATTTTCCTTCCTTTTTCATCAAAGACTGCAAGAAAAGAGCTCTTCAGATTATTAATTCTCCACACACCAACACCACTCCCAACAAAGTTATAATTCTTCCCAACAGCCAGGTTGCGCTGGAACGTTTCCAAAGTACTTTCACAAGCTAACACCAGAGTCGCCATCGCTTCTAGCACTTCAATAAAGGATCTAACCAGGACAAAATCAAAGCACCATGAACCAGTCAATGCAGGGGTTTACACTATACCCTGTGGAGGCTGTCACAAGATTTATGTAGGTGAAACAGCAAGAAACCTCAACACCCGCCTCAATGAACACATTTACGCATGTAGGAACGATAACCTGAACAACGCCTGTGTACAACACCGAAATTCCACCATCACGTAAAATTCAGGGACGCCCAATTAGTGATCAAAGAAACTAATTTCCGCAGACGCAAGTGCCTCGAATCAGCACTGATCGCCGTTTCGAATACTATTAAACAAAACAACGGCAGC